TGTCGGCAGACGGTAGTGTGGGGACGGTGCGAGAGAGTGAAAGATAAAGGGAGAGTGAGAAGGAAAGAGAGGCGGGGAGTGGGAAATACACAGTTCTCAGCATCTGTACGCTTCATCCTTTATTGATGATTTTAGCCACATCGCCCATCATCATCGCACATCAGAATGAATGTTTTTTGTAATCCTAATAGGATGTCCTTCAAAATAAATAAATCGCGTTCGAGTTTTTCTGAGGATCGATTTTTTTTCACTTATCTGATGGGCTGTCCTCAACTCGCCCCCCTATATTAAGGGCTAATTACATAATGTGATATTGGTAATTAGGGGTAGGGCCTGTAGGGATACATTACAGGATGCAAGTTTTCTCCCCATATGACTTTCTGACTTGCTCGAGTAACACACAAAATCCCTGCTTCGGCTCCCCTACCATAATAACCAATGTAACTGTCAAAATCGTACATTTATATTTCTTTACTATATCTAATTGTAAGAGTCTCTGAGTAAGAGTCATCTGTATATTAACCCTAATCCCTTACTAGAGACAATTTTAAATACAATTATCGAATTAAGCATAATATGTATGCAATTATTTAACACTTATAATAATAAAATATCTCAAGGAAGATGCACTTACTTATATCACCATTAGTTGCTGATGAATCAAAAGGTATAGACAAATGCCGCCCACCTTTGCCAATGGACTGTTGTGTAACCAGGTTTAGTTTTTCCCCACTGTCACCTATTAACATTTTTGTTTGTAATATATACTATTTTGTATTATTATTGCTAAATTTTTTCTTAGAATAAAACACAATCATATAACAATTTATTTAATATATAAGATAAATGTTTAAGATTAACATGCACTATCCGTGATGGAAATAGTAGAATATAATACTAGAAAAATTTAATTTGACTATTTTAATTTATTACATCCCATAAGTACCACAAAGGATTATCAATATATGAAACATTATCTGACAAATCCATCAAATCATGTAATGTTCCCCTTAAATTGCATGATGTTCTTGATTCTTGAATACAAGAGTATGCTTCTCTGTAGGAAGATTTCCAATCCTTGCCAGTATCTATTTTTTTGTTTTTGAAATCTCTCTTATACAACTTCTGCCAAAAATGTTCATTATTTAATAATAAAGTAAATCTTCTACAAGTTTTAGCAGTGTTCACTATATTGATTACAGGCAAGTATAGTAAAATCTTAAAGAAGAGCTCTTCAGGAAGACCAATAAGACTAGCACTACTATAACCAAAATAATTAAGAATAGAACTTTTCACTGGATTTATTATTCTGTTTTTTAAAGTATAAGATAAATGTTTAATATCGTGGAACATCTTAGGAATGGTGCTGGACTCAGGTAAAACAATATATTGACTCATAGGAAGACATACAGTATATACTTCACAATTCTCATTGTTGATAAAAATATCTATCAAAATTGCTGAACACAGTGGCAGCATTATCAATTTTAGATTAATGTCATTAAAACCTGCCATTATTAAAGCAATTTCATATACACCAGAAGGTTGTTTCCAATTTATCACTTGATCTAAGTTAACAATTTCATAATCAATAGTAGGTGTATTATTGGAAGTGACAGGTGTAAGTCCATTTTCAGAAATAATATACACAATCATTGTAAGAAATATATCTTTTTGAATTAAGTCTAACGATTCATTGTTAGACATAATATTTTTCACTATTTCTTCAAATTGTTTGGGTACTACTTCCAATGTACTATCTTCTAGCTTAAAATCCATTGTCAAGTTATATATTGAAAAATCTGTCGTTAATTTTATCCTGCTAGTTTTCCTAACTCTTAAAATTTGTAAGTCAAGCAGTATCTGATATATTTAGAACTATATTGAAGTGCATGTTTAATTACGAATAATATTACAAGCTTTAGAATTTAACCTAAGTAATAATTTGCACTGTCATTTTGTATTAAAACAATTTATTTTCTTTTATACATATTGTTAAATGTTAAGAAATATAAGTATTGTTAAATCATTAAATGTTTAGCATTTAGTAATCGGCTAAACTATGTATTTACTATTTATTTTTTAATATTTATCACTGTCAGGCATTAAATGTCAACAAGCTGTCAGTCGTCACCCACATACAGATAAGTTATATTTTTACATTCTAAAAACATGTTATTTTTATATAAAGAAATAAATAGAAATACAATTGAAATTGAATCAATGACAAACAATCAAGATAATTTTCAATAAGATTTTTTAACAAAAAACTTTTAAAAACAAATAAAATTTAAGAATAAATAAATATTTTGTTCATTATTTTAAATGGTTACTTTGTTAGGCAGCTCCTGTTATTTAAAACAAGATTTAATCTCTACAATGTTAATCCTGTCCTATTTATCATTTAATGGGTTTTATTGGAGTTGTCAGTTGTATGGTGTGTATACACAAAGTTTACTATTATATGCACTTTATTAAACTTTGAAATATTTTAATTATTAAAATTAAGAAATTGTTGAAAATCTGTAGTTTACATAATTAGCAAATATTAGACAAACAATATTAAAATACTAGACAACAAGGCAGTGATTAGTAATATATTTTTAGCCCAACTTTTATTTATAAGAAATACTAGCGGCTCACCCTCGCTTCGCTCGGGTTCGTCGCTAGGTACGTTTTAAATAGATATAAATATTTATTAGCCAGCGTTAGCCATATAAATTTTTTTTTTTTGTTAATAATATTGACAAATATTGACATTAATATTTATACAATACTAATGTCACTCAATTGTTTTGCCTTCCCGGAACCTCTCCACTAACATTTAAACTTTATGCCATGGTATTTATTAAAGTTCAAATTGACTTTTAAGTATTATTATGTATTCTTTGTATGGGAGTATAGAAAAGTGTTGTTTTTAGACTTTTTCTGGCAATTTTTTAAATTTTTCTCTCCGTAAGAATCATCCTCGTACTTTAAAGAATATTCTAAAAAAAGAATTAGCGAAATCGGTTCAACTGTTCTCGAGATTTGCGCTTACCAACACATTCAGCAATTCATTTTTATATTATAGATAATGTATTGTTTTCAAATTTTCACACATTTAACTTGAGTTGACTGTTATTTGTTGTATACTGATGCCTTCAATTAACAGAATAATAATAATATTAACAAAAAAAATAAGTTTTTTTATATTTATCAAAAGAAATAAGTATACTAACAAGCTATAGAATTATGTTGGAGTTATAATCTTATAATTGTTAAATGAACTACATATATGTTAAGTTTAACACTAACAACAGACAAATTTGGATTATGATTTTGAACCCACAGGCTGGTTTGTCTATTATGAACCTGTATGTATTGGCAATTGTCAGTCTTTTCTACCATAATATTAATGTAATATCTTCAACATTAATATAGAATCTTTCATAAAAGAGATAGAAGCTATTTGTGAAAAAAAAACTTCTTATTCAGAACAGATTTCATGGTTATTGCATCGTTGCCTTCTTACCTAAAATTTTATTTCCTACTTGTTAAATTAAAATAATTTTATCTAGGTACTTCAGACAACATGAGAGAAAAGAGGTGTGGGATGGACAACATAATATTATTGTACTAAGTACATAATTATAAATAAATATAAAGAAACTAAGCATAAAAATCTCTATAAATGATACTTTTCTTATTAATTAATAAAATATTATACAACACTAAGGATTTTTATATTACATATATGCGTAATTGACTTAATTCTATTACCTTAAAGAAGTTAGATATAATTTTATAAGGTTATACATATATAATATTTATGAACTATAGTAAGTAATGATAAAAACAACAAGTATTATAACTTACCAATAAATCCACTGTTGTTTTGTTTTTTATTGCTTTTCAAAGAACCATCTGAATTATGATTACACAAACTTTTTTCGTTGTCACTAGCCATTGAACAATTTTGTTAAACAAACATCAGGTAAAACTTCATTATTATAAAAATATAAATTTGAAATCAAAAAGCAGAATCCTAATACTATAAACACATAAGAAAGTAACAAAACAGTTTTCTTCATTAATTGATTACTAATAGGTACATGTTTACACCCTCGAGCCTCGACAACTAAATACTGTCTGACATCTGTTCAAAAACTTTCTTCTTAATGTGGAATCACAATGTAATATGAATAGAATATTATTTATTATTCAAACAACATTTAGTATTTAATTCATATTAATAAGTATTGAAATGAATATGTACATTATAGTATTTAAAAATAACAGAAACTGAAAAAAAAACAAAGTTGTACTATAAAGTTATGAACTCTTGTTTTATTTTACATCTTATTTACTTAGGCGGAAGACTCATTTTATTTTAACAATTTTGCAATGGTAACATTCATTTAGAAAAATATGTAAAAAAATATTTTTAATATATTTACAAAATATTTTGCTGTATTTGTTATTCAATTAGAACATATAAAACAAAAAAAGTTCAATATTGTTTTATTAATTAGTTTGTACTTAAGCACTTTTTTATAATTAACATTTATAATTTAAAGAAAATTTACTGTACGGTCTCTACATACATTACTTACAGCATACCTATACTCAAATACAATTTTAATATTACTATCAATAATATTTTTCTTATATTTATTAATAAAGATTATTGAAAATGAAACACGTTACATTTTAGGTATGTTCTTTAATATTTTCTGAACTTATCTGGAAAGGACATTCTGCTGTTGTACATTATATTATCTATTCTTTTAAACATATTCTTAATCTGTGCTTGCAAGAAGCAGTGCTGTCACGCTGTGTTTGACTTATTTGTTCGTAATCATAAAAATTTCGCCATAATAATTGAGCTTAAATTTTTGGATCGCTAAATATTCATTACTGTATTGCATTATTTAAGTTATAAATTGTATTTTATTACTGAGGGGTCGGCTAAACAAAGTTAATTTTGCTGATGTGATTTTACTGAAATGTCATCGTATATGGCAGGTGTTTTTGATTTAGATTTAGATGTGGATACAGTTACAGTTGCAGACTCTGATGAGGACGACATCATAGAAGTTGATGAGGTGTTTATATTGTGTTTTTATTCGTATGTTAAACTAAATTATTACCTAACCTTAACTTTGACAAGTGTACAGTTAAAGTTTTATCTTAGCTTAAATATGAAATTAGACTAAAAGTGCATTCTTGATTAAAAGTATTATATAAAGTTATAAAAATTGATCACTCTTTAACTTTTAATGTTTCTTATTTTTTTTAATTTGTTCTTTTAAACCTAATTGTCTATTTGTTATTTAACAGGTTGACTATGATCCTGAACTACATGTCCATAATATAGTGGAGTAAGCATTAATCACATAAAAATTGATAAATTCAATTGATTTAGTTATATTACAAAACATATACCATTTTAAACTTTTTTAGGTCTGAAGGATCTGAGACTATACAACTTTCTGAAGATAATGTAAATCCAGGTCAATGTAAAAGACTTGGTCCTCAAGATTTTGAACTACGAAAAGTTTTGGGCAAAGGTGGATATGGAAAGGTATTTCAGGTCCGCAAAATTACTGGTCCCGATGCTGGAGCACATTTTGCAATGAAAGTGCTTAAGAAAGCTTCAATTGTTCGTAACCAAAAGGATACTGCTCATACTAAAGCTGAAAGAAATATTTTAGAAGCAGTTAAGGTATACTATACTATCTAAATAAAATTATTTCAATCATAGTTTTAACACAGTTAAAAATTCATACAGTAAGCAATATACCATTGATTTCATCAAAATATATTTTAGTTATACCTTTAGTTTTACCCTTTTTTTTTTTTTTTTTTTTTTGTTGACGCTGGGGAAACCCATCATGGGGACCCTACCGGCCGTCAATGGGTAGGGTACTGTGAGACTCCTACTCACTAAAACCCACAGCGGAACCCGTCGCCGCAGTGCAATGGGGTGTGCAGGATCGCTTGCGCATTCACTGCAACACCCCTGCGGACAGCCCGTACCCCGCGGGCCTGCCTCGCCTACCTTTAGTTTTACCCTGAAGATGTTTCTCAACTGTCTTATTTATGACAGTTGGAAGTGCCTCACTCATATCTCACATCACAAGCTCTACATGATTGCCCTGTTAAATAAACTACATGCCTTTGATAAAAGACTATGAATTAGTTACTATGGTTTTTATAAGTAAATATGTCAGTGATAATGATTATACTAATTCAAATTGACTAATACTTTACAATATATTTTCAGCATCCATTTATAGTTGAATTAGTATATGCTTTTCAAACTGGAGGTAAATTATATTTAATTTTAGAATATTTAAGTGGTGGGGAGTTATTTATGCACCTTGAACGTGAGGGAATATTTCTCGAAGACACAGCATGGTATGTATTTAATACTTTATAAATGTAATAGTTTATTAGGCCTTAATTTTTCAAATACAGTCAAACTCGAAACCTAATATAATGAAACTAAAAATTACACATCTGAATCACACTCTCCATATTATGTTAAGACACTATATATGCATATAGCATAACAATCTATTTAGAGGATAAATATAATAAACATTAAATTGTTCAAACACTTTTTAAGATGCATTAAAGTCTTACATATTGATTAAATATTCTAAAGAATCTGTTCTTCACTTCAATCAAGTTGTCATTACATTATCATTCTATGATTAGAATATTTTCTTTAGTTTTTGATGTTGCCATACAATTTTATATCTTGACTGGACTTGACTGTTGTCAGTTTACTCAGGAACTTAGACACACTTAGAAACTGTTTCATGGCATGGAGAGAAAAAAAGTCTTCCTATGTTGTTAAAAAAGATTTTATAATAATATGTGATATAAAGGGGAGTAAAGTTGGGAATATCTTTGGACTCTATTTTCTATTTGAAAAAAATGTAAATGGCAAAGGACAGTCTTTAAAAAGAAATGGGATGCCAAAATTTTAAGGTTTAGATAAAGCATACCTGTCTTCCTTTACTATAACTAATGTTCTAGCACCAGATATGTAGGTTAGCAAATTAAGTAAAGTCACTATATTATCTGCAATAATTTTTTTAGATGCATAATATAAATCATTATGCCTATAATATAAATCAGTCCTTTAAATTTTAATGTGTAGATTTTATCTACATACATACTTACATATATTGAATTTTTACATGAAATACTATATAATTTATTTTTTAATGAATAATGATGTACTTACTATTACATTTGCTATGTAAGATACATATAACAGTATGATATTTTATTTATTTGTTCATTAAGTACAAAATTTAGGTGGCTTAAGATTTTAGTCATTTCTTCTATTCATCTAAATGATATTGTGAACACTTATGACCATTATTACAGGCTAATGGCTATATAGGTACTCAATGAAGGAATGTAAGTTTAGCAATGTAAATGCTGAATATAAACAAGTAACACACAAATAAGGTGTAAAAGTGTAGCAAATGAATATACTAATATTTATAATAGGAAATGAAATTAAAAGTAGTGTGTTATGTGTACCTAAACCTTTTTGGCCCTTTTTTAATCCTTTTATGAAATTTGCTACTTGTGTCCTATAAGTAATTTTGCTATTTTTCCATACAGGTCATTATAATGAATATATGATTAATTTTTTCAGTTTCTATTTATCAGAAATTATTCTGGCCTTGGAACACTTGCACAGCTTAGGTATAATTTATCGTGACCTTAAACCAGAAAATGTTCTTTTGGATGCTCAAGGACATGTAAAATTAACAGATTTTGGATTATGTAAGGAACATATTCAAGAGGGTATAGTCACTCATACATTCTGTGGAACTATAGAGTATATGTAAGTCAAAAGTCAATTAATTAAAGTTCTTAGTTGATTTTATATTCACAATAGCATTACCCGCGGCTCTGCCCGCGTTCAGATGACCAAAAACCAAATTCTTAGGTTTTAGATATTAGTATACTCTTACAATGCAGTTTTTGTATTTTTTCTCAGAAATGAGATATTTTCCCGCGGTAAAAAGTATCCTATATGTTGACCAAATAACCAGTTACCATCATACCAAATTTCATCAAAATCTGTCCAGTGGTTTTTTCGTGATGCGGTAACAGACGACAGACAGACAGACAAAAATTCTAAAAACTATATATTTGGACTCTGTATCGATAATAATGTCTATTTCAATTCGATTTTCCAAAAAATATTTAATGTACAGATTCGACTTAGTTACAATTTTATTATATGTACCTATAGATAAAATATTTATAAATGTTTATTTTTAATAGGGCCCCTGAAATATTAACTAGAAGTGGTCATGGTAAAGCTGTAGATTGGTGGAGCCTTGGTGCATTAATGTATGATATGTTGATTGGTCAGGTAAGTTCCATCTTGATATTGAACATATTATAAAATTAGCAATGAAATAAAATAGCCTTTATTCATAGAAGAGAGAGATACAGTACATATTGTACATATTATGAATAGTTGATACATTTTAATAAACGATGTCTCTGATCTCCATGTGCCTGCTGGTAAAGGCTTCCTCCAACTCTCGCCACTAAGATCTATCTAGAGCAGCTATACTCAACCTTCGGCCCGCGGGCCGCGTGCGGCCCGCCGGGCCTTTGTTATTTGTCCACCTGAAGTTACATCTCAGAGTTGGGTTCCGTTTTAAATTGTAATTACTCAGAGTTGTTTGATGAGTTCATCGATTTTGAAAATGATACCAATCTAAAAGTTCTGTTTAAAGAAAAAAGGGAAAACAGACCATGATTGAAACGTGTTTGTGGCCCCTATAAAAAAAGGTTGAGTATGGCTGATCTAGAGCCATTCTTGTCCAGTGGTACTAGTGTGTCGCGCAAATCGTCCTCCCACCTTGTTTTACGACGACTTCTTCTACGCTTGCTGTCCCTGGGGTATCAGTATGTCACTATTTTCCTCCATTTCGGAGTGCTGAATCTCAATAGATGACCTGTCCATCTCCATTTTACATTTTAATTGATCAATATGTAATGTTATGTTTGTTACTTGGGGTTTTCTGATGATCTGATGAATTCGTTTTTTATTTTATCTTTCCTCTCTGCTCCCAACATATTGCGTTCCATTGCTCGTTGACATTTTTTTAGTTTCTCCCTATGATCTTTTGTTATGGACCATGTCTAACATCCATATGTAAGACTTGCATGCTTGATGCTTCGATCGTTTTGATTTTCGTATGCTTTCCTAATTTCTGGCTTTTCATGATCTCTTTTAAGGACCAGTACTTCTTCCAGCCGCAGGCAATTTTATTATATATATATATATATTATAATTTTATTATATATATATTATATATACAGCCCCATTAAGACGGGGGAAGGTTTTGTTGGGTTTTAGTGGGTAGTATTGGCTGTATTACGCCGGTGAGTCCCACACGTCGTGCGTAAATGCATTTCCCAACGTTAAAAAAAAAGGTAGACATAAATGTTAACATAATCAAATATGTCTATGTCTATCTCGTCTGAGTTAGTCATTAACTAAACTTAGCAATACCAAAACTGAATTCTTAACGTGTTTTAAATTATGTTGTACTCTAGCCACCATTCACTGGAGATAATCGTACAAAGACTATAGAAAAAATACTTAAAGGTAAATTGATGTTACCGGCCTACCTTACACAAGATGCTCGTGATTTAATTAGACGTCTGATGAAACGTTCAGAGACGCAACGCCTAGGTGCCACCGGCGCGGCGGCAGTGCGCGGACACGCTTTCTTTAAACATGTTCATTGGGATGATGTTTTCGCTCGCAGATTGGAACCTCCTATTAAACCACGTTTGGTGAGATTTTTTTATTGAAAAACAGTCAATTTATATGCTATTTTCATGCTAGTTAGATATTAACTGCGTAAAATGATTTTTTTTTATCTATTGATAAATATAAAACTAAAGTGTTATTTAAATATCTTTAAAAATGATCTATCTCTACGACTTGATCCGAGTGCCAAGTTTCATTTAAATTCGTTCAATAGCTTGAGTGTAAAACATAGTATATTAATACTATGTTTATATAAAAATAAGATAATGTTCAAAAAATCGTTTTGTAGGCCAGTGAAGATGACGTCTCTCAATTTGATACCAGATTCACTCTGCAGACACCAATAGACTCCCCAGATGAATCAACACTAAGTGAAAGTGCTAATCTTATGTTCCAGGTAAGTCTTTACTATAAATTATAAGCATTGTGGGAAAACTAAAATTTTGAGGATTAATGTATGTCTAACGTGTAGTTAATATTATATGTGTACTTGCTAAATTGAAAGAAGTACAATTTACAGGTTCCTAGATACGTTACTATATTACATTAATTAATGAGAATGGGTGGTTTTTACATGTTTTTTACAGTATATAATCTTATGCCTATATTACCTATTAAAAGGGCATTTCCATTGGCCTTTAGTCCTACCAGTCGTTTTAAAGTATGGGATAGGTGCCATGAATGGGACATTTTTTTTAGTGTAAGATTTTGAGCAATAAATGAGGTATATTAAAAAATCTTTTGTATATAACGTAACTTTATCTATTCGTCTTTCAAAATATAAACTAAAAACAATATCTTTTCGAAACATTGTAGCATTTTAATGCTACAAATTTAAAAATTCTTAACATATTATGTGTGTCCCACTCATGACGTGGTCTTGATGGTCTTGAAAGGGACATTTTATAAACAAGTTCTTAGCAATTATTATAGAAGCTTTTATATTTTTAAATCGGTTATTAATACACCTCCAATAAATAATATACCATACTTAATCATAATCTGGTCGATGCGTTTAAATGTTGGGAAATGCATTTACGCATACCACCTGTATACATACAGGTGGTTATGTTGGACTCATCGGCTAGAACACAATAGCAATGGCAATAGCCAGTACTAAAAAATAACAGAACCTTCCCGTCTTAATGGGGTGTTTAAGTCCTGCCTCAATTACTGTTTTTCGTCCCTTTCAAGGCCTATTTAGTTGTCCCAAACAAGACTTTCATACTATTTTGAAAATATCCTCACAGCAAAAAGTTGTGCACTCACTTTTTAAATAGTTAAACCATTGGTCAGTTAGCACTACAATAACTGTCAAATATTATTTAAATAATCTAATAAACAAAGTTTACAAACAACGAAAAAAATACTTTTACTCACGAAATTATTAAATTACGCTTCGCCATTTTCTTTGGTTTGTAAATTAAATGATATTTGACCTCAATATTGTTACTGAGTAAATGTTATAAGAATGTAGAAAACAAAAAAAAACTACTAATTTCCTAGTGCCGTAAATTTAATTTGTCCCTTTCATAGCACTTTTTCCCTACGTTTAAAAATAAGATAAACTATTCGTTCGTCTATGAATTAAAAAAATGTTTAGCACAAATGCTGTGAAAAATGATATGAAAACTTTGCTAATTTGCTATCACTGAAGTGTATAATACTTCTATATAGTGACATTGGAAAATAAATAGACATACGAGATAAAGGAGTTATTTCGATCTATATTTGAAGGCAAAAATAAAAATGTGTTTAGTAAATTTAGAAGCTATTATTCGGATCTTATAACGAAACTAACTTATTAAATATCGTTAGATCTGATAACTAATTTATTAAATACTCTAAAATCTGTTATCTGAACTTATTTAAAACTGTTAGATCCGTAACTAAACTAACTTATTAAATACCGTGACTTATAGATTTTATTAAATACCTACCGTTAGATTATAACGGAAAGATAGCTTTTAACGGAATTTGAATATTTACGAGTGTTCCTTAATACGTCGAGCCGTTAATTTTCTTATTAACCTATACATATAATAAAATTGTAACTAAGCCGAATCTGTACATTAAATATTTTTTGGAAAAACTTATTGAAATGAACATTATTATCGATACAGAGGTCGAATCTATAATTTTTACAATTTTGGCTGTCTGTCTGTTATCGCATCACAGAAAACCACTGGAGGGATTTTGATGATATTTGGTATGGTGATAGCTAGTTATCCGGGTCAACATGTAGGATACTTTTTACCGCGGGAAAATGTCTCATTTCTGAGAAAAAATACAAAAACTGCAATGTAAGAGTATTTTAATATTTAAAACCTAAGAATTTTGTTTTTGGTCATCTGAACGCGGGCGGAGCCGCGGGCAATGCTAGTTCTATATATAAACTCGCATGACATTGTGGTCACAAGCATACTCTTATTATGATCTTTTTTGAATGTAGTTTGTTTAATATTTGATTTATCAATGATCAGTTACATTTTTAGAATGTGAAATATGATATATTTTAAATATTATGTTATTATAATTGTAAACATTGATAGGCTAATGATAGCTTTAAAGGAATTTTGTGAAATTAGCCCTATAAATTAAACTCGCCAGGAAGAAAGGGATATCTGTTTTTGTCACTAGATGGCGCCGCTTCCATTTCATATAGATCTGCAAAAGTTTACGCGAGCTGATAAATAAAAAACTAGGCACACGTAACTCAATAGATGGCAGTGAGTTATGAATATATAAAATAAATCTTGAAAGGCAGAATAGTCTCGAGGCTGGCAGGTATAAAAATAAGATATATTTTCTCTAATGTTTACTTGCGTTTGTTATTCACTTTAATCTTTTACAAAGTATGAAAAGCTGATCTTGTAATGTTTCTATGTAGGTCAATGTTAAGGCGAAATTTCGCTAGAAACCTAAGCGACCATATAAACTATTTTAATTAAACTTACCTCCACTACTACAATATCTCTAATGTTAAGTACGATTCTGTATTTAATGAACAAATTATCCAAAATCTATTTTGCCAGGGTTTCACATACGTAGCTCCGTCTGTGATGGACGAGATCCACAAGCCGCGCGTGATCACCGCGCGTTCGCCGCGCCGCCCTCGGCCACACAACCACAACGCATTCACGGTGCCTCCCGCCTCCACTGCCCACGGACTCTCACACGCTCAACAAGAAGACCTCATGGACGTACAAGGTTTACCTATATAGTGAGTATAATATATATATTGTAGCTAGGTTGGCGTCGGCGCACAAATGGCCTAACTAATCAGTCTATATTAAAATTAAATTATGGTTTTTGGTAAGCGCATTACTTGAGAACGGATGGATCGATTTACCAATTTTTTTATAGTTGTAATAGTCCCAGTACGGTTTTTAGGGAAAATAATAAGGCAAAATTGCCCACAAAATTGGGGAATTCCTGATAAACTTAGTTATACAAATATGTACCTCAAATATCATAATTTTATTGAAATTGGGACAGGATATGTTGGGTCAGCTTGTTTTTAATATAAATAAATGTTTATATTTAAAATTTCAAGGTACAGACAGTCTTATAAATGTAATGCGTACATTTTAATTATGTTAACTGTTATTGTACTAAAGATACATTTTTATAGATAAACCACATTCACATATTGTAAGGAAGTGACACAGCTTACATTGTAGGGACATATCATACTATCTTTTATTTCATTATCCATCTCAAATATGTCCATGGGATAAGAGGTAATAAAGCATTATACGGAAATTCTTTTGTTGTGCGAGGACTATTTAATGGATTTCAATGTGAATAAAAATAAATTTTATTTTTACATTTAGTGTTAACGTTTATATTATAACATTAGGTTAAAATTTGTTTAGAATGGAGGGATAGTCTGTGTGAATACTGAATCGGTTATTACTATGAACTTAATAAAGTTATTCATACACACACACACACACATATATATATATATATATATATATATATATATATATATATATATATATATATTCTTTTGTGCATGATAATTGTCAAAAGATTAGGCCACTTTTGCATCAATTGCCCAATGTGTAAATTAGTAAACATACTTTAACCTGAATAAAGGAAATCTATGACATGTAAAAACTAAAAAGTAAAATTAAAAATTATTGAAAAAAGTTAAACATACTCATAGTTGGTTGACTGTACAATGTACATGTAAGTAGTATGTACTACTTACACATTTTTAGTTCAATTGTATTTAAGAATTTAAATGTACTAATATTAGTTTTTGAATACAAATATTAAATAATATACAATGAAAGTGAATCCTTTTTTTTTCAACTGTTAGTCATAGAGGCTAGTACCACTCATCACAGACACTGCGTAAACTGATGGTCTCCGTTTACTGCGCAAGACAAATAGCGTAACTATATTGTTATTATATACATATTAATATGACGCCTTCTTTTCAGGCCTAGAATAATTTATATAGTTGGCTATTTTATACAAAGGATGAATTCAACAACAAATGCTGCCCATCTAATGTCCGTAAAGTAATGGTACTGTTTTTATACAACTATTATTAAATGTACATTTTATACAAGTTACCGTTTAGTTTAATATTTTGGTAGGTATTAAACATGTATTAAAATGTTGTAACTCAACTATTATGAAAGAGTAATAATAAAATTAACTTACAATATGCCTTGTTACCATGCTTAATGAATTGAATTAAAAGGTCATTTTTATTTTGTACATTGGTGTTTAATTTAATAGTTTTCATCTGTTTCCAGTATATAAACTAACTAAGTTTTGTTTAACACAATGTGTGTGTTTTAGACCATAATAAGAGATGTCAATAATTATTTGTATTTTGGATTTATGTAAATAAATTTTAACAGTTTAAAATAATTTACTGAAACTGCCTCCCGTTACTGAGACTATAAATGAGAATTTATCTTATAAGTATAGAATAAAACTTGTTTCGCCTTATTTGACACTTGTAGAAAAAAAAACACCTACAAATGAATGATTAAGCCCGGCCGTATATTATGTTTTCTGACAGAAAATTCCTGACGCCCGCCGGAAGGCATTCTGCTCATGTTTTGGTGTAGACCCCGCATACTACTCGGACGTGTCAGATGTCCGCTTCTGATGAGTCCCGGATCCCGCTGATCGGACGGTATTTTTCGACTTCAGACCCGTGGTCATACTATTTTGTTACACTGGTGTTCCAAGCATATCTATGACCGATGTTTACACTAATGTAACAACCGAGCATACTTATGACCGGTGGTATTATATCAAAGACGAGCAGTGGTAGCCCAGTGGTAACGCGCTCGCTTGGTAAACCGAGTGAAGCGAGTTCAAATCCCGGGTCTCGCACCTCTGATATTTTCATGTGCGAATCATTTCCAACATGATTACCACTTGTCTTAACGGTGAAGGAAAACATCGTGAGGAAACCTGCATGTCTTAGAGAACTTAGCAAGTTTTCAAAAGACATGTGAAGTCCGCCAACCCGCACTTGGCCAGCGTGGTGGACTATGGCCTGATCCCCCTCGTATTGAAGGTAGGCCCGTGCCCAACAGTGGGACGTTAAAAAGGGCTGAATACAAAGACGAGATTAAGTATGTTTATGTTTGAAGCAAACAGACGGTCATATACAGTTACGTTTGGTAAGTTTTATTTTTTGATTATGTGACAGGTCCGACTTTGATAACATAGGTTGAGAAGGCTACGGCGGAAACTACGTCTTATTCGGAAGAACTCTTTCTTTCTAGGTTGGTCAGGTTAGAATAGTGACAACACATAGCTATAAACGACTAGAACTTTTAGAACAAAAAATGTTTTAGAAGAATCCAAATATAAAAAAATTATAAATGAACTTAATTTCGATGACTCACCTAATAATAATCAAAGGCTATCGCCTTCTTAGTGTAACCATTGGTCAAAGGTGTTACACCAGTGTAACACTTTTTATATAGATCCTATTCGAAGACGTATAACCATCGGTTATAAATCTATGCACATTAGTTATACCAGTGTAACAAAACAGTGTAACCACGGGTCCGAATTACAATTTTTCTGATCAGAACGTTGGAGGTCAGAACGATGTTTTGTACTAGACCCTGCACTCATCAAAAATTCGCATCAGTCGTCGAATCATTGTCAGACTCGCTGAAGCGAAGTTTCTGATAGGTGTGGTACCGGCGGGCGTCAGAAATTTTGTGACAAGAAAAAAATCTGATAATATGTGGCCGACCAAAAGTTGTACCAAAACTTTCTAGTACCTATATGATAACTACAGAAACAAGTTTAGAATAGATAATATTCATTAATAATACCTACTCTTATATCACAGGTGCAGCAAAAACTATAACCAATAGTAAAAGGATTAGCATCATACAGATTTATTGGAAGGCTATGATATACACATGCTAGCTATCTTAAATACTAAATCCGTTTAGCTGTTATTTTTAGGTTAAGAGATAAAATTAAATATAACATGTTTCATAAATTGTGTTTATATTTTAATCAACATTGTATTTTATAAACAATTATAAATCATTTAGAGTACTCAATAGTCATAAAAAAATTGCCACTCTGAAGAACTACTAAAAGCTGTACAATAGTTATTTTACTTCCAAAACAGCTGTTTGCATGCAAGAACAATATCTCTTTTTGCGGTTCTTCAAAAACCCTAATTTTATACTAATGTGGCAGAGTTCATTATGACTTTAACTTTTTTAGATATAACTTATTCTTTAAGATTAAAAATTGTTGTCCTTTTACACTTACAATAATTAAAGAATTAGATATATAATTTACATTTTTTATAAACAAATCAAAATCAGGTTTTTATTTTAAAATAAAAAGGTCTTATAATAGTTTTTAACAATCTGGATTGTAACCACTTATATTGCTGTAGATGGTCAATTCTTATGAATAATTTGAGTTTTTCAAGAGTTACAGATAATAACAATAACTTTTAAAATATTTTTAGAAAAATATATTATGTAAAATCATAGAGACTTTTCATAGATTAGTAAAAAAAATAACTCAAAAAAAATAATAAAATTAAAATTCTGAATACATTTTTTTACACAACTACTTGCATATCCATGCAGTTCTCACACATAAAATATATATGTGATTCTACAACTGTAAATTGTACATTGTGACTACACATAGTACTATGTTGTTCCAACTTTTCATTTATGCTCTTCTTGATATCTTGCAAGGTTAAATTTGTTTTTATATCAATATTACAGAACTTGCAACACAATTTTTTATCATTTAGCATAAAATTATTTTTTTGACAAATGAAACATATAACACTATCATCTTTTTGCATTAGTGACCAGTCAAAATTTTCGCCTTGTGACCTCTCATACTCTTCTATCCACCTGAAAAATAAAGAATACCAAATATATGTTTTTGATAGCTGCTTGTTTATAATTTATTTCGGAGATTAGCCCGTACAAACAGAGAGAGAAACAAAAAAATCTGGATTTGTTCTATTTCTCTTCTTACACCCCCCTAACCATGTACAGACATTCCACATCTACAGTTTTATTTTATGTATAGATAAGTACCTTGCTCCCTTAGCTAGGCTGCTTTGTATATTAATTTAAAAATACAAATAGATTGTTAGATAGCTGCAAAAAATATATTGTTTCCCAAGTAACTTAACCACCACATTTTAGGTGGAATTTCAAAATATCCCTCTCTTCGCACAGCATAGTAACCATCATAGTCAAATCTATACCAATATTATAAAGGGGCCAGTTTGCTTTTTTTTTGAATGTGCTAATCTCAGTAACTACTAATCAGATTTGAAAAATTCTTTGTTCATGAGATAGGCTGTTTATTGAGGAAGGCTATAGGCTATAACATATCATCATAACTCAAGGGAGCAGAGCAGTAATATAATCAATCTATTCCACATATAGCTAGGGATGAACCCGAGCAACGCAAGGGTGAGCGGCTAGTATGAAATATTTTTAATAATGTTAAAAATCTCACCCCTCTAGGTGCTGTGGTACAATACAACAGGAAATTAAAATTAAATTCTGGAGTACAAAATATATTTGATGAACTACTACAAAACTAAACGTTTTTAAACAACTTATCATAATGTAACAAGAGTTTTCAAGATTTATGCTACAGAACCCTCAATGTACAAGTTAGACTCGGATTTTTCCGATTTTGTATATTAAATATAAATAGTGACTTGCCAATTTAATTCTTCTTGTATTAGTTCTTGCTTTATCTCTTCTAATATTTTTATTTCATCAAGATCTGTTAAAAAATCATTTTGTATTTTGTATTCAACACAAGAATTACTAAATGTTTTGTTATAAATATCAGTCAAAGTCATTTTAAGATCATTTTCGGGTGCACCACGGAATCTGTTAAGTAGCATATTGCGACAATTTTGCACCTTGTTTTTATAATCCTAAAAAGAGAAAAATCTGTAGAAATATTGTATTTTGCCTAGACTTTATAATATAGGTATATTTGACCAAAATATTACTTACTTTCCTCATCTTCACTTTTAATTCAATGGGAGATTGTGAATTCTTCATTTTAATATTTTTATAAGTTGGTGAAGAACACGCTTTAGGTGAATTCATTATATCTCAAAGATATAACTAAAGATTAACGAAAAAGAGTAAATTAAGAAATTAGATCAATCTGGCTAATAAATTACAGATAAATAACGAAATATTTCAATTTAATTATTGACCGAGTTTAAAGCGAATAAAATGATCGATTTATTGGTTAAGCTAATTTTCGTTGTGAACGTTTATTAGCACAAATTATATATTTATTAGTCATCCATGTTGTGGACAAAATACTTATTTTTTTGAAAATTGAAATTTGAAAGGTACTATTTTGATTTATAAATTAATAACATACACCACAGGAACTAGAAATGACAATTGACATTTGACAGCTCTTGAGCTCACCATAAACAAAAATACTGTTTTCCTCACAAAACGTGACACTGGCAGAATGGATTGCGTCTGATAACGCAACTATAAGCCATTATAAAAAAAATAAAATCAAAAATACTTCTAAACGGATTAAGAAGAAATAAGTCTACACGTATCTTAGTGCGTATCTATAGTTTTATATTCTCGTGCAATCCCGATTTTAGCCGAATTAAAAAAAGGAGGTTATCTATTCGAAACGTATGTATGTAATATTATTGGAACTGCAAAATATTCACATAATATGATAATTTATTAGGGCTTCCAAACAAATATACGAAATTTTATAGGTGTGTGTATGTATGTAATATGTATGTTTATCCACGCATTTCTCTGAAAATAGTAATCGGGTCGTGATAATTCTTCTTTTATTAACTTAGGGAATAATAAAGATTTCCTAAAAATCAGTTCAGTAGTTTTAATGATATGGACTGAAACATGTAACTTAAACTGAAATAGTGTTTGTAGTTACTACTTATTAGAAAAAATATTTCAGTTTTTAGTTTTTACTTTCGACAAAAAATTATGAAATAAAAAAAAATTAAAAAAAAATTAAACCAACTAAAAAAAAATTCCAGGCATTAAAAAGTAAAAAATAACTGAACGGGCGTTTTCAATAACTACTATAGATACCTAATCAGATATTTTCGAAGTTTGCCGATGGAAAGCAAAGTAAATCTATTTCGATAGGTACGTATAAATACAAAACAAATTGATGTATAATATTTTAACTATAATTAGAGTTCATACCTGGTCATATAAATATTTACCTATTAGATATTCATATCATATAGTATTGTCAGCTGACACCAATCTAAAAATATCTGATTAGGTATCATAGTAAATTAATAACAATATTAACCCCCGTTCGTTCGTTATTTTTTACTTTTTAGTGCCCGGAAGTTTTTTTTTGAAGTCGGTTTATGTCTTACTAAATCAGATTAATATAATATTATATAAATTAGTGTAGTCCTTCATTAAATAATTGTAATTATTTACTGAAATTATTTAAGAGTATATTTTTTATCTTACATACAATTAAATAATTATTGTGTTCATAGCTTAATAATTAATGGTAAACAAAACCTTTATTTAGTGTTCAATTACTAAAAATATTGTTTTTCGATAACATTGATGATAAAATTGAAATTTTTGAAGCCCTTAATTTACATTGTCATAGAAGAATAATAATAATTGTACATTTTATTACACCTTATATTTTAAACTTAGTCTTCACTATTTGCAACTTTATTGATTAAGGCCAAACAAAGTTTATATACAAACAGAAAAGAGCCTTTTATTAATTGTTTCAGGCTATAAATTTTGTTTAGTTCTAAAAACAAACATTTAAAATATTATTACCAACTTAACAATAATAACGTAATTTGACAGTTTTTTTATTAAAAGTTAAATTTGGATACATCTGTATCTTTATTCTTTATTATCCTGATCTTTTTCAATGTTTAGTTGTTTATGATATGATAATAATGTTTAGGATCTTTTATTTTACTTCGCAGCAGCAACATTCATACGAAATGTCAAATAGAATATAGATGGAAATGGAAAAAAACAATGTGAGTGATAAGTGAAAATATGGCCAAGACTAAAAGTTGAGAGTTATGAATAGCTGAAACTTAGAATATTACTATTAACTTTTATTTTTAAGTAACAAACAAAAAAATAATGACTCATGTCGAGAAACATCAGAGTCGTCCAGGCAAGGAAGCAATACATTCTGGACACTTTATGGTATCGCATTTTGAAGCTGAGGATCAGGATGATTTTGATGACCTAGCAGTCCCTGTACCTGATGAGGAACAAAATGTACCTAAAGAGTCAGCAGTTGCAACATATATTTTGCCTGTTACGTCTGAGATATTTCAGCGTTCTGATAAAGAAGAAAGTAAACAACATCAACATCTTTCTATAGAAATATCTTTAACCAAATTATTTAAATGTATGACTTTGGCATACAGGTGAGTGATTATTTTCAATTAGTAGACTATTTATTGGGGAACTAGTAAACTTTTGATATGTGTAAATAATAAAGTGTATGTGTATGATATGTATCAACTGTTCTTCATGAAAAACATCCATTCTATAATTTGATTTTTCAAATCTAGCTTTTTTTATATTTTGTAATTTTAAACACTTTGTTGTTAAGGTCAGAAATTTTATCATAGGATGTTATGTGTGTGTAAATCAAAGATACTAATTTTCTTATAAGCTGTCATATAATAGTTTTCAAAATACAAGTCAATTTTATTGGAAAGAAGTATCTGAGAATGAGGAAACACAATTCTGCAGAGCTTGCTTTGCAAAGATAAGATGAAAGGTCATCATAGCCTGTACAGAAGACAGGTCACATTACATGATAACATAGTATGTAATACTTAGTTATAAACATATTCTGTATAAATTATTTTATATATTTTTATATATTTTAATATTTTTTTAAATTACATTAGAAGAAATTAAAAATAAGAAATTATACATTTATTATCACTTAAAATAATAGTACTTGTGCTATAACATTACTTTGGTTTAATAAAAAGTAATAGTAAATATTTTTTCTTTGAAGATGTTAGAATTTTATCTTAGAATTATTACCCTTTTCTGTCATTATTTTTATGATTTAAGTTGGGGTATGGAAAATGGGGAAAATAATTTAAAAAAATCACCTTGTTTTTTTTATATTATTTTCAAGCAGGAGATTAAAAAGCAAACATTGAAAATAAAACAAAAAGTGACAATTTTTACAAGCAAGCTTGTATATTTTTTCTGAAATACACAAATTTTTATTTGAATCTAATAAATTTAAATAATAATTTGGGACTTACTACTAATTTTACTCATATGTATCATGAAGGAATTTTATATATTTTAAATTGTTCATCATTATAATATATTTTATACTTTAAGCAACAACCAACAATACATACTTATGTATATTTAGAGTGGTAGAAACGATGATAAGATATAGTCAGGTTTCGTTCTTATCAAATTGTTATTTATAATAAGCTTAAGATCATTTATTGATAGTGACATAAGATAAGAGGGCTTACCAAATGCTTACACATGCATTGCATGTCCCCAGTACAGTTCTAACACTGAAGCTGTACTTGTACTTTAAGTCTGTGAATTATTTATTATACTCATATTATAATGAATAATTTAAATCCATTCAAGACAAAAATGTTTCTTATGAACTCAAGAACTTTTATAGTTAATTTAATTATGAAAGTGCTATTATCAAATAATAGATTGTGACATCCAAGTTCATAAAAGTGTGGTGAGTTATTTGATTTAATTTTTTGTTTTCAATTTCTCAGACAAAAACTAACATCTCCTAAATGGAATCGTTTCAAAGGTATCAAACTCCGGTGGAAGGACAAAATAAGATTGAACAATGTCATATGGAGATGCTGGCACATGCAGTGTAAGTTTTAAAATTTAAATATTAAATTTACAATAACAGATATTATTGGTACATTGAAAATAAAATTCTTTTACAAATGTGTGTATATAATATTGACTTATACTTTACTTGATTTCATAGAGTGATTGCTTTGATTATGTATTTATTTGTTGTTGACATAATATAGAGCTATATTATATGTGATATCTTTGTGTGTAAAAAATATGAAAAATATGTAAAAGCTCTCAATGTAGAGCTTGCTATTTCGTTGGGCAGAGTGCCTACTTCTTGGTTGGTCAGGGGATCGAGTTTCATGCAAAAAGAAAGGTCTGGGCTTTAGATAACCAGGCAGGCTTTTAAGTTTAAAAGTGCTATTATTTATCTATATGACCATAATTGATCATCTTTATGTATAATATATAACCCTAGGACCAGGGAGAACCTGTACATATATATATATATATATATATATATATAATGTATATATATCAATGTGATAGGTAATAAATGAATTATAGGTCAGCAGCTAGGCTTTTATTGACCTTACAGTGTACACTAACTAGTAAATTATATATATGTTGTCATTTACATACTATTTATATAAAATTGCTATTTATATTATGTATTTTATATTTGTCAGTAAATACTAAAGGCATATTCTTATTCTTATAAAAAATAAAGTTTCATAACTTATATAGTCAATATTATGTAACCTATATAATTTTGATGTATTGTGTTGATTGCTATAACTTTTTCGTTGTTAGTTTGGACTTTGATCATTCTTCTAATTATAATTTCAAATTCCATAAATTGATATTATTGTGACCTAATTTTAAATTTATGGGGTCGTCTACCTATAAATATATCTAGTGATAAATGTTGCGAGTCTGTTACACAACTGATTATGGGTTGCGATGTCGCCCTAATACTGATAACATCATTGATCGTCAATAGCATGAGTAGTAGTATCAGAACTTAAATATTTCCTAATACATTGAATATTTTTAAGTTATTTGACGATTTTTACTAGATATTCCTTCAGCTTTTAAAATGTTGTGCTCATTGAACCAAAACGATTGTTGTAAAGAAACTTAGCCGTGTTTTAATATAGATTGATTACTTGTATAAATATAAACACCGTATTTATTTAAATATTTACAGCCATGATCCCATAAACAAACATGCTAAAATTTTAACTTTCGATATGTCATTTGTTACATTCCAAGTATTCCTAATATTTTTTCCAAAAATAACAATTGCGAAATATTAAAATTTACCTAAACTTTCATTTGCATTGGCCTGCGCTTTTGCGTGTATACATTTATTTCCATGTTTTCTCTTTATATGTACATAAGTATGTTTTATATTAATGTAATAACTAATTTCTATTTTTTTTTCTCTCCCTCTATCAAATTAAATCTAAATCCAAACAGGCCTTTATTCGTTTTTTCCATTCTTTCAACATATTTTCGCCCAAATATAAATCGTTTGTTTACTATCCCACTATGCTTCCCGGTGTATGTTCCGGTTGTGTCTGGTTTAATAAAACTATGCAATAGTTTCTACTTTCCACATAATCAACTACTTTGAAAGATTTTTCTTTTCTCTGGATTGCAAAAATGGTCTGTTACTTACAAGTTACAGCCAAATTCTCGAGCACAGTTAAAAATCTTGTCTAGATAAATAAAAAAATATATAGATACATTAGAATTAAGCCAGTCCGATAAAGAGATTGCCACATTGCATACACAAAAATAAAATCACGAAAAAGTCTTCTACTTTTTTTTAGTTTTTTAAGTTGTTCGGTTTGAAAATTCTCAAAAATTCAGAAAAAAATCATAATTCAAAAACTATGAACAATCGCGAAACATACATGGGAGGGATTCGGGTACCCGAAGGGGTGCTCTATCTCTGGACTTACATTTGACACTACTTTCTGGGACAGCCTGTATATTATATAAAGTATGTATGTACAGTTATCTGTTTATGACAGTATTAAAAAATATCAACTTGGGTGTTACATGCACCCAACGTCATGCAATATGATAATCTGTACCATTTGTCAATAGTCTGATAACTCAATTATTTTTTAAGTTATTTAGTATAGAGATGAATTATCTAAAATATACTTTTAAATTTTTATGTTACAGTCATAAAGAAACAAAATACTTTGGTATGCCAGTTCGCATCCCCGCTGGATGTTGACACACATGTGAAACCAGAGGTAGAACAGCAGTTAGTTTTATAATTATAATTTTTTTAATTTGTTTAAACTTATATTTATACTATATTACAGACAACAATACTTGAAGGAAAATATTGGAAACGAAGAGCCGAAGCAGTTATAGCTGAATATAAAAAATGGCGTATGTTTCACATTATGAGACTCCTCGGCAAGGGGGACACCTCTGTCCAGGACTCGGTAAATATTTATTTACCTTGTTGAAAATACTCAATGCTTTTTTAATATATGGACTTAAATATTATTACATTCCCAAAGTGTTTTCTTGCTCAGTATCATATTAAAAAAAAAGATGATGAATGCAATTTGCAGATGTCAAAACTATGCGGTTTTCAGATGTCGGACATGGACACAGTGGAGTCCCAGTGCAGCGACTTCGCCGCGAACATGCTCACCGACGAGGACTATCTCAACTTCATGAGTGACACACTCTTTTCAACCATCACAAATCATCAACCTTTCGCTTTCCCAGATTGCAGGGAAATCGGTATTGCTATTTACTTCAATATCAACAAATGATACTTAATCCAATCAAAATCAAAAAGCTATATTTCTCATTTGTATGTGTTGACTCATAATTGCTTTCGATTTTAGCCAGAGGTGCAAGCTTAGCTGATTTCATTCAACCAAGCTTAGGTCCTCTGCAGCCAAATCTTGATGATTTTATGGATACGTTGGAACCGCTCCAAGGTATGTTAGATTAAGGCAGTTTACGTGCTATTTATTTGTGACGAGTGACAAGTACTTTACATTTATCAATCGACAGATCTTCTATCCTCTTCTCGTTTGCCGCCCGTACCCGAAGAGCCGGCGATTTCTTCTGAAGATACCTTGTACAGGAGTGGAATGTCAGTAGATACGTACAATCCTCAGAACTATATTGCTGACAGTCAAAATTCTACAACAGTCACAATGCCTACCAGTCAGATGACCATTCATGGTATTTGCGCTAACTTAATTTTTTTAAAGGTTGCATTCAAACCTCGTAAACATAACCTTGCTCTGTCTTCAGGTACTAGTAACAACACGCAAATAATGTCGATGCCTGATCAAAATAAGAATGCAGAGCAGCTTAGGATGTACGACAATGGACGATTATTTAATTCAAATGAGATTCCCAATAATATGCTGGCCACGCAGGACATGATGTCTTCCTTCACGCAGTCCGCCTACGAGCAGAGCGCTGAGCAGTTACAGGCCGGCGTGTACGCGGGCAAAGCGCCGCGCGTGCAATACGTTAACACGCAAACCAAAATCATTCCTCAACCTGAAGTTTGCTACTCCAAATATAACACTAGTGCGTATCATACATATGATCATGGATCATCTTTATTGTGCTGTTTTTAATATTGACATATTTCACAGCGCTCCCGCCATCGCAGACTGCGCCGGAGACGGTGTCTCTCCTGCAGCAGCCGGTCCATAATTCGAAATATGCTTCAACAGTAGTGCTTCAAGGGAGGAGTGGGTACAGCCGGGAGAAGCCGCGCTCTCGACTGAGTCACTATCCTAATCAGATGGCGAATAACCACTACCAGGGTTACTCGCCCTTGCAGAGCCCTGTGCAAGTATCGCCTCAAGGGTTCGACGCGCGCCCCGCTGTACGACATTCGCCGCCGCAGATTCAATACTTACAGCCAAACACTGTCGACTATAAAGCGAATTCACCAAACACCTTAAACTCTCGCTCATTCAAGTTGCCGTCTCCGCCTTTGGTTCCGGTTACTACGCAGCAGGTGAGCTGTAACATTTTAAATATTTGTTATGTATTAATTAATCGTGAGGTGCTATGATTTTTAAATTGTTTGTGTCTAAATTTACTATTTGTTCTTTTAAATCTATGTCTAATATTATGAGAAGAGCACGATTATAGAAACATTAACTTTCACAAGCTTAAACCACTCTGCTATCAGAGTAGTACCAGGAACAACCCACCTTTTTGTATCTCTAGCTTCGCCTGCCTGAATTTTCAGATATTCATTAGAGAAATACAAATAGTTATTCTACGAGTAGGTGCAGGTGTCGGTGGGCGTGGGCGTGGGCGTGGCGAGCGGCGTGTCGGCGGGGCCGGGCCTGCGCAACAAGGAGCAGTACCGCTCGCACAGCCTGCCGCTGGGCGCGCAGCTGGGCGCGGACTGGGCCGTGACCGCGCCCGCCCACCTCGCGCAGGCGCCCGCCACGCACTCGCCGAGGGTAAGTACCTAATATAATAGTTATATGTTATTCAGCCCTTTTAACGCCCCACAGCTGGACACGGGCCTCCCGATAAGATCAGACCATAATACACTTCACTCGCCGAGAACAGGTTGGCGGACTTCACATCCTTCCGCAATGGCTAAGTTCTCTCAGATATGTAGGTTGGTTGGTAGGATGATATTTTCTTTCACCGTAAGACGACTGATAGTCGTGAAATGATTCACTAATGAAAACATCTGAGGTTTGAACTCTCATCACCTTTCCAAGAAGCGCTTTATTCTCGTTAAATATGATCATAGTAAGAAAAACTACACTAGCTAGGAATAATATACTGTGAACAATACGCACATAAAACTTTGTTTATTATTCTTTTCAAAGGACTTGATATGAATTAAAGTAATTCGTAACAGACACGCGAGGCGCACACGGGGGCGCTCCGCATCAGGTCGCGGTCGACGTCCGGCGGGGCGGCGGGCGAGGGGCCGGCGGGCGCGGGGGGCGGCGGCGCGCGGCGCCCGCACCCGCCGCCCCTCACCAGCGTGGCGTCCGAGCCTACGCTGCCGCAGGCCAGCGTCATGCTGGCGCAGCTACTCTCTGCGCAACATTGTTCGTATAATTGGACTACTGTTTTAAGTGCGAAAGTTTGTAAGTGTGTGTGTGTGTGTGTGTGTGCGTATGTGTATGTTGCTACTATGGAGGGTAGAACTAAAGAGAACCAACTTATATGGGAAACGAGTAGAAAAAGTGTCCAGTGTTGAGCAGCAAATTGTAATTCAGAAACTCACCGATAAAGCGCTAACGTAGCGTAGTATATGTGATGTGAAGTTGGCAGTTTTAAACTGAGTAAAGTGTGCTGAATTATTATTACTTGAAAATAATATTATGTAATTATATTTTATATCGGTGTTTGCCTTTGTTAGAACTATTTTGAAAAGTGCGTCACAACAAAGCGTAAATCTTTCTTTACTAGTTTAATTCACCATCTTACGCTTATTATGGCTTTTGGCGCTATGTTTTAAATTCATCTACTTTTTTTCTGTGGCGCCACCAATTTGTCAGCGGTCACTTTTTATACGAGAGATAGTTCTCCTTCATTCTACCCTCCATAGTTGTTACTCCTTCACGCTGAAATGGCTGGAGGGAATTGCATGAATTTCAGTACACAGATAGATTGTGACCTTTTTTTTTTTTTTAACGTTGGGAAATGCATTTACGCACGAAGTGTGGGACTCACCGGCGAAGCCAGTACTACCCACTAAAACCCAACAAAACCTTCCCCCGTCTTAATGGGGCGTCGCAGGATCGCTTACGCATTCAACTACGACGCCCCGACGGCAGGTCTGCCGAAGCAGACCACAACAACCATGGGGTTGCTCCACGGTCCACTCTGCTATCAGAGAAGTACCAGGAGCAACCCGCATGGTACACCGCCCTCCGAAGAAGGCCGCCTCCCACCGCCCACCGAAGCGGGCCACCTCCCTGTGCGTTTCTTGGCTTCGCGAGTACACTACTGAGCCCCCCCACCACGACAAGGTGAACGCACGTTGGGGGGGAGATAGATTGTAACCTGAAGTAAGGTAAGATTAGACTACTTTTAGGGATCGCTAATGTATTCATATTTAATAGCAATCAACAAATTCCCTACTGGCTAAAGGGTAGATCAAAGTATCCACAGATAATTAAAGCAATTAACACCGATACTATTTACAGCTTGTTTCGAAATTTCTAGCTGCCATACTATAATTTAGTTTGCCTCATCCTCTTTACATTTCATCTTATATTTATAATTTTATATCTGAATAAAAAAGTGGATTGTTATTTACTACCAGGCTTAATTTTTGTTTTAAAAGTATTAAATACTTGAATTTCAATCTTTGATTGATTCAGTGCGATAGACTGATAAAATAAATACCGAAAAAATATGTGTACATAGATATCAACTATATCTGTACTATTTAATTTTTAGGCCTAAATAATAAATGTATTCAAAATTTTTATTTTTAGCTCAAAGCTTGTACAAATTAAGCAATAGTGTAGAAGATGGAGCCGGAGTGAGTGACCCGACGAAGTCCCCCATTCTCCGGGGACAGCCTTCACCCATTGGCAGCGATATCATATCACCGCACCATGTGAGCATATATGTACATATTATCCTATGTTATTAGCTATCACTCTTAATGTATTTATTATTTTTCACGCTTTTTACTTCACCAGGCCTCAGGGGTTCGATCCTGCTTGAGTTTTTGTAACTGGCATTTGTATAAATGTTTTAGTTTAAATGACCGCATTTAAAATCATCATCAGTCGGAATCGAGACGACTGATGATGATCAATCCTGAAACAGCACATAGGGAACTTTTGACGTGCATACAAATAAACCCTCGTACAAAGATCAGTATTAAAGATGTAAAAATGAAATTGGGAATGTTATCGAAAAATATTTTTTTTTGCAAAGCAAAGCTACATATTAGATGAATGAATTGCGCATTTTAGTAAATTAAAATAGCACATTGTTTATATCTATGTCCTGTTCCAATCGCGCTTGACCTTTGTTACATGGAAAGGACTACTACAGTGAGGTCATTTCAATTATTTACACATTTTATAGGTTAGAAAGTTTTTTTTTATTATCTAAAAAAAATATCGGATTCATGTGGCAGAATATATGGCTAATAATATTGGTCGGTCCAACGATTGATATCTCACTGATAGTGTTAAATTGTGTGAGGTGAAAAAAAGAGAATAAATTTGTACTTGCGCACACACTTGTGCACTATTATAAGATCTCCTGCATAGTTGATCCTCTGGGACGATGGCTGCCATAATCGAAATCGGTCAACAGGATATTATTATAATATTTACCTACAATAATTTACTCTCAATTATCTTCGTCATTTTCTTCTTCTTCTTCGCCCTAGGGCTTCGCCTTAGGTCTTCTAAGCCCTAATCAGGTTAGATAAGTGGTAAACAGTGATTGATATCAATATTTTTTGACATTCAAGTTAAATTTGACGCATATTATTTATCAAATTAACATGGTACACAAATGTAATATGGTACATGTTGTTTATGAAAAATATTCATTCATTTTTTTTTTATGAATGATTTTTATGATAGGTTCGGGCCGTACTTCAATATATCTGACAGTGATATCTACTTTAAAATCTTGATAGTAGATATTGTGGCTTAAAAAGTACATATAAAAATCCTAACTAGAATAATAATGGCGAACTATTAAAAGTTGAATTCAAAAAATTAGTAAGAAAGCGTCCTTACAAAGTTACTTTTTTATTTAAATATTCATTTTTTTTTTAATAAAACATGGTCTTATGAACAACGATGTTTATATAATTATTTTAATCTATTATTCTACATGAAAATTAATAATAATCAGTATTTTACGAGTATTTAAATAAGAGTGTACACAACAACAGTATATAAATATCTATATATGTATATAGGAAATATTTTTTTATATGAATAAACTAGTTGAATTATACGTAGCGCAAATATTGCGTGTCGGAGTGGGACGTTCTAATTGTCTGAGCATGAGCCACGACCTGCGTGTGTGATACGACGCTACGGTCAAATCATAAATACTTTCAAGTAACACAAAACCTATACATATAATAAAATTCTGAGTCGAATCTGTACATTAAATATTTTTTGGAAAATCTTATCGAAATAGACATTATTATCGATACAGAGGCCGAATATATAATTTTTAGAATTTTTGTCTGTCTGTTACCTCATAACAGAAAAACCACAGGAGCGATTTCGATGAAATTTGGTATGGTGATAGCTGGTTATCCGGGTTAACATATAGGATACTTTTTACCGCGGGGAAAGGTCTTATTTCTGAGAAATAATACAAAAACTGCAATGTAAGAGTATTTTAATATGGAAAATCTAAGAATTTTGTTTTTGGTTATCTGAACGCGGGCGGAGCCGCGGGCAATGCTAGTGTAATATATAATTCTCTTATCCGTATAAAATAGGGAAATAGCTTCATATATGTATCTATTAAGGTTGTAATAGCGAGGTTTAAGTACTCGAAGGCGAACTACTATTATCATTTACTGAACTAAATTGTTATCCGGATCTCGAATAAATTATAAATATTTGCCGTAATGTTGATTTTTATTTTTTTTATTATATATCACGCTAAGGGGGTGTGTTAGAGCGACCAAATGGTCTTTATATACGAGACTTCGTTCCCGCGCACGTTATCTGTGTTAAAAAGATAAAACGTCTGTTGTTTCTATCTATTAGTCTGGTAGGTTCTTTAAACGATTGATAAGATAAAGAAAGTCAAAGAGGGAGTTAACTCAATATATGTTATATGATTTTAGGCTTTTTGTTAGGTGCATATTTTGTCATATCGCAGTTTCAAGGCTAGCAATCCAAATATCTATACGAATATTATAAATGTGAAAGTTTGTTTGTTTGTTTGTTTGTTTGTTTGTTTGTTCTTCTTTCACGACGAAACAGAGTGTAGGATTGGCATAATTTTTTGTGTGGAGATAGTTGGAGGGCTGGAGAGTTACATAGGCTACTTTTTACTGCGGGAGATTATCTCATTCACACGGTGAAAACACTATAATATTCATTATCAAAAATTACTTGAAATTTGCTATTAATGCTCTTCAATACAATTGAATAAATACGTGTGTTACTATGTTTCTAAATTCATCACATAAGGGGTAAAATAGGGAATGAAAGTTTTTATGAAACCTATCTTTTTAGTCTTTTTTGCGCGAGCGAAGCCGCGGGTTCTGCTAGTATTATGTATAAATTACAAACGTATAAACTTTTAATATTTGTACCATCATTTTAGTTATATTATAGTTAAGTTAAATATTTATTCCTCATAAAATAAAACAGATAACATAAAACACGTGTCATCCAATAAATAAATCATTGCCGTATAACATATAGTTGACCCAGATTCAGTCTATGATTAATTGGGACAATTGAACTAAAGTATAACATTATTTAGATATAAAAATATTGAGACTACAATTTCATCTTACAATATCGTTTATTGCGTTATCTTCAACAGTTTAAAATTAATGTTACATTGTACTTAACCTCGGGTGCATCCCTGGGGACGCGGGTTTTATTCACAACTTCATGGGTTTTAATTTCTTTGCGCGGAATCCCAATTCTTTTTCTAAAATAAAAGTAGTCTAAGTTACTCCTTATAACATCAGCTATTTGCCAGTGAAAGTCCCGTCAAAAATCGGTCTAGCCGTTTTGGAGATTAGCCGGAACAAACAGACAGATAAAAAATTTTTTTTTTTTTTCTTATAAGTAACGTAAATATGTACTTTCATATGTTTTTTTGTAAAAAGCTGTTATTTTGACATTACATACAGACACTTCAATTTTATTTATCTGTATAGATTAACAATAGTATTAATTTTTTTACATTAAATTATTTTTGCGTTATGTTTTTATGTTTGTTTATGTTTTGCGTATGTTTTATTTTGTAATTGCCATATGTTTGAATTTTGAACAGTGGTTTAAATATGTTAAAAAATAAAATGCAATTTTAATTCAATTATATGTTGCAATAGCTACATAATTTGATTACAAACTTAAGTTATATATTATTTTTTAAAACGTGCTTTGTCATAAATACAGAGCTGAGCGGAACAAAAAAAGAAAGTAAACTTTTCCCATTCACCCAAAAAATATTTCAAACTTTAACTTTAAACAATTATTACTATAAGTAATTGTATGTAAGTCTAAAAAACCTTAAGAGATTATACATACAAGCAATGTGTGTTTAGATCTCCCCCAATTCCATGACACAAAACAATTTTTTAAGGCATTTTTTTTATTCCAAAAACGTACCAGCCCTATCATAACTTCAATCTAAATAATTTTATAAAACGGTCCTTAACAAAATTATATACGATCTTAGCCTCCTCAGCGTTTAGCGTTTTAATAAGGATTTTGATTCCATTAATAAATGTTAGAAATCTTCAAATAATCCACATAATAATATCAATTTTCATAAAAATACAAAACTATTTATGGCACGTGTACACGAACGCAATATATGTGCTATTTTAATTATAGTTCTATTACAGAAAATCAATATTATATCATCAAACAACTATCTCAATATATAAGTTCGCCTAAAACCATTTTTGAGAGATCATAAAAATTAATGCATTCAATGTACAAAATGTATATACTAAAACAATTTGTGAGAGATAATATGAATGAACACGAGCCATGTGCAGTCCCGTGCGCAGTCGCTGTCCCCGCCCGGGTCGCCGGGCTCGGAGCGCGGCGGCTCCCCGCGCGAGGCCCGCGAGGCGCGCCGCACGCACCTACACGCCGAGCAGAAGAGGCGCTACAACATCAAGAACGGCTTCGACACGCTGCAGGCCCTCATACCTCATCTCAATGCTAATCCTGCGGCTAAGGTATACATATCTACACTAATATTATAAAATAGTTTTATGGAAAGTTTTGAAGTTTGTAGGTTTGGATGTAGGAAGTAATCTCTGCAACTACTGATCCAATTTTGAAAATTCTTTCACTAAAAAAAAGCTACATTAATTTCGAGTAAACGGAGTTTTGCGAAGTAAGTATATGTCGCTACTCATTTATGTAAAAAGGGGAAAAAACGGTTAAAAACATAAATATAAAATAAATATGTTGGGACAATACACAGCACCATATATTTCCATGGTAAGCTATAAGTACAAGGCTTGTGTTATGGATACCATATAGTTGATACACTACACACATACAACTTTTAAATACACACTTATTATATATATATATATATATATATATATATATTTATATATATATATGTTTATATATATATATATATATATAAACACCCATGACTGAAGTACAAGCATTCGTACTCATCACTCAAATGAATGCTCCCAGTGGGACTCGAACCCGCGACCGCTGGCACATCAAGTAAGGACAAACGTGTCGTCGACATAATCTTTATGGAAAGTAAAAAATTAAAAAATAATGGTTAACTATATACCAATAACTATCTACGAGTAAACTATGTATCTTTTAATGCATGTAGTATTAACAGATTAATGAATTAAATATATTTATTACGTATAATTTGGTATCTATTGCTGATTAATACTATCTATAATTTATTCGAAATGTATTACTTAATAGAAAAAATGGGTTGACTCCACTCGACACTTCTTCTTCTGCCTGGCATTATTAATCCCGGCTATTGCCAGGGTCTGCCTTCCTGCTGAGTCTCCTCCACTTTGCACGGTCTTTAATGTCATCCTGCGTAAGTCCATTGGCTCTCATGTCCTGCTTCACGACATCCAGCCATCGCTTTCTTGGGCGCCCGGGAGGTCTTGTTCCAGGGACAGATATATCAAGGCACTTCCTTCCGACATAGTCCTCAGACCGACGTGCGATATGGCCATACCACCGCAGACGCCGCTCTTGGAGCTTATCCGCTACGTCACGGACCCCGAGACTATCCCGGATGAACGTGTTGCGTATGCGGTCAGCCCGCGTTACGCCACACATCCACCTTAGCATCTTCATCTCCGTGACGTGAAGCTCCTGAGTGTACCGAGATAGCGCTGGCCAGCACTCGCTCCCGTATAAAAGGACCGGTCGGATGATGCTCTTGTATATCTGTCCCTTGAGCTTGGGCGGTATTCTGCGATCACAGACCACACCTGTGACCTCTCGCCATTTGGCCCAAGCAGCGCTTATACGGGCTTGAATGTCGTGGTCGATGCTACCGGACTCGTGCAGGACAGATCCAAGATACCTGAACTTCTCCGACTTAACGGCTGGTTCAAGCCCTATTTGGATGGTGCTAGAGTCCGGACTCCCGCAAGCCATGTACTCGGTCTTTGCCACATTTAGTTTGAGACCGCCGTTCTCAAGCGTACCCTTCCACAGGTTGACCCTACGCTCCAGCTCTAGACGGTTCTCATCAACGAGCGCTATGTCATCTGCATACATCATCAGCCATGGAGGCTGGTCCTGGATGCAGGCAGAGACAACATCTAGTACTACGTTGAATAAGAACGGGCTGAGAGCCGAGCCTTGGTGGACCCCTACAGTGATCGGAAAGGGCTCGGTATCGCCAACAGCGGTTCTAACTACGGAAGCGGAATTGTGGTACATGTCCCTGATAATGTCAATATAGATTTCGGGCACGCCCTTGAATCGTAACGCCCACCAGATGCATTGACGAGGCACACAGTCAAAGGCCTTCTGCAAGTCCAAAAATGCCAAATGCAGAGCTCTCCGTTTCTCCCTGTAAGCCTCGACCAAAGTTCTAAGGGCAAAAATGGCGTCCATGGTGCTCGATCCCGGCTGAAACCCATATTGACACTCAGAGACAGCACACTCTCGGCGGAGCCTGAGATCGATCACGCGTTCGAAGAGCTTCATGGTGTGACACATGATTTTGATCCCTCTATAACTACCGCAATCCTGAACACTGCCCCTGCCTTTGTAAATAGGGGTAATGAAGCTTACGCGCCACTGGTTAGGCATCTTTCCAGTGTTCAGGATACAGTTAAAGAGATCAGTAAGCATGAGTACACCAAGAGAACCTAACGATTTCCACGCCTCGATCGGTATGTCGTCAGGTCCCACCGCTTTTCGGTTCTTCATGCGGCGAAGACAATCCCGAGTTTCATCAGGTGTTATTGGGGCAACAAGTCCTAGGTTAGGGGGCGGTTCGGGGGGATGACTATATGAGTGCTGGTTGTTCAGGAGCTCCCGGAAGTAATCTTTCCATCTCTCCTTCACAGAGGCTTGGTTACAAAGCAGCGTGCCCTGTGAGTCCCTGACGCAAAGACATTTTGTAATATCTTGCGTCGCTTTATCCCGGGCACGTGCCAGCTTGTATATGAGCTTTTGCCCCTCCGCAGTTTCTAGCTTATCATATAATGGAGATAAGCTATCGCTGCGGGCTCTGGCTACAGCTCTCTTGCTAGCACGTTTGGCTGCATTGTACTCTTCTCTATCTTCAGGAGTGTTGGTTTGCTGCCACTCTTTAAACGCAGTCTTCTTTTCTCGAATCGCCCCCTGCACCTGATCATTCCACCACCACGTCTCCTTGTCGATGACTCGTCCTCCCTTAGAAACGCCAAGAACTCGCCTTCCTGCCGCGGTAATTACTGACTGGGCTCGATCCCAAGCCTCCTCGGCGGTTTCGGTGTCATTCGATACATTTTGTTTCTCAACCTCCGCCAGGAAGTCCATCCGCATCGGTCCATTCAGTAACCACCACTTGATTCTAGGTTTGCGTTTCTCGGCTAGTTTCTTTTTCGGGGTAAACATATAGTCCATGATAAAGAGACGATGTTGGGCCGTTAAGCTTTTGACTCCACTCGACACTCAATTTCTAATTTGCCATATGTCATCATATAATTATCAAAAATTAAATGTATTTTCGTGTTGAAATATGTAGGTATAATATTTGAGAATTACACCTGTTATGGTTTCAAATATGTACACAATTCTAAAATAGCACTAGAGAATTTGTCGCACTTATTTTAATTAAAGTATCCATACTAATATTGTAAATGTCTGTAATATTGTAAGTGTCCGTCTGTCTGTTTTTTACCTTTGATTGATGAAATTTGACAAGTACATAGATTGCATCATAGGGACGGACAAGGGTTTAAATAAACCTGTACTTGACTTTATAGTGGCATATTATTTCTTGATATGTCAACATGGCTCTTTTTATATGGCTTTGTTTTAAAATGTTAAAATATTTACTCGTCAGATTAGTAAAGCTGCAATGTTGCAAAAAGGCGCCGAATACATCAAGCAGTTGAAGGCAGAGAGGAACCAAATAAGAGAAGAAATGGAAAGCTTGCGACAGCAGATTGAGTGCTTAAATAATTCCATTTCGTAAGTGGTTTTACACGAAGTTATTTACTTATTTCATTATTCTATCCAAATAATTTATATTATACGCATGTTGATAAGCCTAAGGCTTAGACGCTTTAATGATTAGTTTAGATAAGATTGTATCTAACTTTTCAAACTAATGATAGGCGTGGTTGCCTATGTTTTTGGCAATTCTTTTACAACGTCATTATGAACATGATGCCATAAAACACAATATCCATACTACTATTATAAATGTGAAAGTTTGTTAGGATGGGTCATCGATCAAAAAGGTAAACATATTACACAATCAGCGGCAAAATATGTCTTCACCGAATGAGCGCTCGTTTTTACATTTGAGCGCACCTTTAATTAATTTTTTTTGCGAAAACAACTTTAAGCATTGCATTTAAAGTTCAATTTCCATTGTTGTATATTTATTTTAACTGGAATAATTACCTTGACAGTTTTATGAGAACTTTTGAATGCGATTGTGTATCTAGTACTTTTTTGATTGATGGATGGATGTTTGTTATTCTTTCACACCAGAATAGCCGAACGGATCTGGATGAAATTTGATTACTTTTGTCTAGGGACGAACCCAAAGCGAAGCGAGGGTTATTATGAAATAACAGTAGTGAATAGGAACTACTTGAAAGTTATACAAAGTATTACTGTTAGTACATTACTTTTAGGATTATTTGAGTGATAGTAATTTGTATTTGAATGTGAGCAGCAACTGCCACTCGCTGCTGCCGGCGACGGGCGCGCCGGTGTCGCGCGGGCGCGCCGGCCGTCTGCGCGAGATGTTCGACGCGCACGTCGCCGCGCGCACCGCCAGCAACTGGAAGTACTGGCTCGTATCCTTTGCTAACTACACCCGTGCTATGTGTGTATTGTATAGTGCAGGGGGTGACTGGCGTTTAGTGGTTTGTTTAATATAGTGCTCTGGTATTATTGTGCTAATATTGCACACAGTGTAAAGGGTTGTGAAGTCAATTATCTACACTGATCAAAACTACTGATTTGATTCTGAAAATTTTTGAAATTTATTTTTTAAGATGTTCGAATTCATATAAGAATCCTACAGAAAAGCCATATCTATATCTAGCTTTTCCTGAACTTATCAATCTTCCGGGCAACATTTCCATGTAATTCTCTAAAAACCTTATTCAAATTATTTTGAACATTAAAAATTTTGCAAAATAGCAACCAGCCGTTTTCAATTGATATAGAAACATATAGCATGTACACATTAGTGGGTACCTACTTTTGATATATAATTTGATTATTATCATTATTTTTACCGTATACTTCGAACTAATAGAAGATAATTTAGACTATCATTCATCATACTGTATATAAAACTAAAAAATAATTACCTCTCCTTTTTTATAAGTCGAAAAAGTAAAAATAACATAAAAACTAAAACTTATTAAGTCCAATAAGCACCCTTATCGAGCGCTCAGTTCAGCGAGGTGAGCGCGGCGCTGGTGGAGTCGTTCAGCGCGTGCGCGTCGTGCAGCAGCGCCGCCGACCTCGTGCGCACCACGCTGCTGTGGGCTGAGCAGCACTGCTCGCTCGTCGAGATGCGCCCCGGTACCGACACACGCCTCCCGTAATCCGTAAAGGAGTCTGCTCACTACACCATCTCATACCATGACCGTGCTAAGACGTGTCAGGCAAAAAAATATTCTTTGTATTGAAAAATATGAGACTCTGCACACTAGACTGTTCCGTCGCCGGACCGGCACCGTCGCATGCCGTGCACGGAGCGGTAACAATTGTCGGCGAGAATATTTTCCCGATGCCGGTATGCTTCGTGCCTGGCACGCGGTGTTGCGGGACCGGTGCGCTCAGGCGGCGCAATAGTGAGCATACGCAGCACTAAAACCGTTATGTACGGGTATGATACACTGTTGATACGGTCTAGTGGGCATAGTAGTCCGTGCGGTGCTCGTTTCCGTGCCTGATACATTTATAGCACGGTCATGGTATGAGACGGAATGGTGGGCAGACACTTTATACTAATGAAAGCCGTCAGCCGCCATTTAAATTTTTTTTCAAACTAGCGGCTCGTGATGTTATTGGTATGAATGGATAGAGGACATTGAAATAAGCTAAATATATTAAGAATTAAAAGCCCCAACTTGTCGCGTTTTGAGATAAATTTAAGTAAAAATAACTCAAATGAGAACTTTGGATTCTATTATGTGAATGCAAGTAACGCATATTAATATTTAATGATTTCATTTTTTATGATTTTAATCTTTTGTTTTGGCGATCTTTACCCAAAAATATTTCATTTTAGAGCACCTGTACTGTTTTATTTATTTAAATGTTTTCTATCCATATTCATATACTCATATCATTGTGCACCGCAAGCTTAGAAAACGGTAAAAATGGCGGAAGGTCAGTAATGCCACAAAGACTATGAGTGAGTGAATGTAAGTCACAACATGACGTTTTACTGGCTCAACGAAATTGCATGAAATTTGGAATGAAGATAGATGAACTCCAGGATGAACCCACGGGCTAAAATTTATTGACTGCCATGCGAGCGGAGCCACGGACAGAAACTGGTGCTTATAAATATCTATATATTAATATAGCTGTAAAAAGCGATCACCATCGGGATCAAACACAAATAAAATACTCACTAGTACTGTAACACTAACCATTGTATTCATATATTCTAAAACAAACTCAAAAGACAACTGACAATATTCTATTGACCCGGGTCGTAATATCCATGTGCGTCTTTAATAGCGCGATTTAACTTACCCGTAACGCCATCTATTGACAAACTATGAAAACTAAACTAATTATACAATAGCATTATCATCTTAAATAGTAATTGATACCTATGACCGTTCACAGCGGTACTGAACTCGCTGCGCGGGCTGTGCACCAAGACGGACATACTGACGAGCCCCGAGCGCCTGCCCGAGGAGGCGCGCGCCGCCGCCGCCGCCGTCGCCGCTGTCGGCGTCAAGCGGGAGCCGACGTAACCGTATCCCACGCCCTGAGGCCCTACAGTTATAAGCTCCTACGCCCCAAGGGTGAGATTCATAGTCCTACCTTTACTTTAAGTCAAAGTCGTCTTTGCAAAGTTAACTATAACTATACATTCCGAATTCATATAAATCGTTGACATTAGGATATGACATATCTCTAAGATTAATAATCTGAATAAATGTATGTATATAAATGACCTTTTCTGTCATAATTTGATGTTTAAAAATTTAAATATTTGAATGGTTTATTTAAAGTTTTTTTGATTACAAAATAACCAATAATGACGGCTCTGTCTTTACCAACCAAAAACTATGAAATATTTATTTTGCCAAAAATGGAACTTTGCCATAAAGTGTCAGTGCGATCTATGAATCTCGCTCGAAGTGCTTATGCAGGGCTGCCAATAGCCCTACCCCAAATATTGAATACTAATAGGGTTGCCAGCTTTTTAGTCTTAAACATTTATTATTATTATATGTGAATGAAAATGATGGATCGAATCATTGTCATGTCATTCGTTTGTAAATATGGACAAGATCTTTCATGATTAAACGCGAAAAAATTGGTAGCTCTTCTTATGACAAAGAAAAAATATTTTTTATAAATTATTCAGAAAGCAGATGAATTATTGGGAGAATCTTGTACATATGTATATATTTTAAACGGACGATTGAAGACATGTTTTGGGTAATTTCGCAATCCTATTAGCATTTTTCACAGGCTATATTTACTTTATCCCTTGATTCATACATTGACTATTGTTTTTGGTACAAAACACAATTTCTTATTACGATTTAAGCGTAACATATATTTGAGCTTTGATCTATTTATAGACACCAAGAGATTTAAATAACTTTAATGTGTGAATCCAGGACGATTTAAGAATGATTGTCGTGAGTTTCCAAACAGCCTTATCCAGCGAGTTTATTGCACTCCGAAAATGTTTATTTAGTACCTTTTGAATTTGACTGTACAAATAACAGTGTTATTGAATTCTTTACAATTTTAACAAAGTGGTTTCCGTATATTTATTCTATTGACGTCACCACCCCTTTCTCATTTGTAGTAAATTTTACATCACTATTTTTTTAAATTGATACGTATTTATGCCCCCGTTCTTTTATTTATATCTTTATTTACGTAAAATCGAGTGATGAATCACTAGAATAGATTAAAACGTAATAATTATGTCTTCGTATTGTTTTATCTTATGCAATACCAATATATAAACGACGAGTGCAATTCTCATCGTGAGGGTGTTAGCTGTATGTATGTATGTATGTACAATTGGGTAGTTGACATATCGCAATTTTTCCAGTTTTTCTATGTCAAGGAAGATGAACCTTTGACGTCACTTATTGCCAATTCAATTGACTAACTATTTATTGATTTGTATGTTTATTTTAATTTTCTGGTTAATTGTAATTAATGTGGTACAAGGCTATTAAAACTAAAAAAAAAGAGAGCGCGTAACTTTTACGCGCGGCTGAAGTAAAACTTTTTGGCACTGTGTCAGATACTGCAATTAAATTAATAAATCAAAATATAATAAATAACTAAGTAATATTTTTTATAAAATTATTAATAATAAATATTACACATTTTTATAAATAATATTTATTATATAAATATATAAATATGTATAATATTTCTTTTTTAATTATTAATAATAAATTTGTATTTCTGTCAGTCCTAGAGAAATTTTACTTCAAACATTTTTTTTAGAGAAGTTATGTTTTGCAATTATATATTGGATCATTAATAGTGTGAACTACCCAATTTATGTAGGTGACTTGACGCGTTCGGTGCAACCGTACGGTGTACCGAATGACCACCACATCCACTGAAACGTGTCTCGACTGATGTATCCGATGTACTTTAATCTCATATCTGGTAATTCAATTACTCTCCAGTGCGGTGTTGATCGGTCTCGTCACCACATACTGTGCCCGAATACCTCTATTATACTCTATACATCAAAATTATCACTTTGCAAATTATATCTGAATATATGTACATATATTTATCAATGTTTAATGTTACATTTTTATATAATTTATTATAAATCAGTCAAACGTATTGTTGTTTAATTATTATGTATGTATTAAATAGGTAGATACGTTCAACACGAGGTATTTGTGTAGAGAAGTTTTTGTATGTACTATGTGATAAGATCCCTACTTGTACCTAAAATAACAATACTCAGTACACAGTGCGCTTGTACTGGCGCTTTGTCATTTGTGCAATTTTTTTGTTGGTGTTCACATCTTGTTGTTTGTTACGCACAATATACTGTAATGAGTCTTTTAAAATTTCATTTCAATACCATATTAAATTGGTACATCGTTGTGAGTAAATGTTATACGCGGTATATATAAGGATGCCAGCACAAAGGTGGCCTAACCTAGGAAATTATTATAAAAAATGCAAATTATATTTATATGTAAATATAAGATTGGAAATGCTGGCGAGTAATAATATATTTAAGCCATTTTTTATTGAAATTATATTATATTAAAAAAATGTGACTTATGACATTTTGCTGAGTCCGATATATTTATATATACAAGTATATAGCAACGAATTTACCATAATGTACATAATGTAAATCGGTGGCTTAATATTGTGCCTTAAAATGTTATTGTATATATTCATAGAATTGTTTCCACACTGACAAACGATATCCACCGAGCAGTCTAGAATATTGTATGTGATAATTGCCCGAACTGACGTACGCGCGTACATCAGCCAATCCCTTTCCATTACGAGTGAATACCAATGTAGTAAGTAAGGAATAAAACAGAATTTATGAATAAACTCGACGCCTTCGGCCGACGGATGGCGAGATTATATTAAGTTACTGTAAGTATATTTACGCGAGTAAGGTACTTTAAGTAAATATTTTTATATGGTTTGTGTCATCACACAAATATTTTTATATAAACTGTATAAATCGGTGCCAACGTCAATATTGTTGTAATTTGTTATGTAGTGATATAATTTTATGATGTATCGTTGACTCTGGTAGCACGGCGTGGAGGGCGCGGCGCCGGGCGCGGCCCTCGGGTGAGCTTTAATGAGTTATTTGCAGTTGTTATTCTATTGGAAATACAGTTTGGAATGAAATTTACACGTTGTTTTATTTATTTATTCAATAAATGTTTTGTGATTTGAATACATTAGTAAAATTAATGATTACTGGTCAAATTATACATATAAATAACTTATTTAATTTTATGATCAGGTGTAAGTTTGTTGAGGGTTCATTCTTCGTTTAAAGCTATTTTTATGCAAGAGGCTCATATTTTTGCTATTGATCACTCCAAAAATGATATAAACCAGTTTTATGATGTCAAACTTAATTTCCTATTAATGCCATCGTTAAATTACACATAAATAAGTGCATTTCTTATTTTTAATGTTAATATAAGTACTAAAGATAAGAAAATTTAAGTGTCTATGATTTACAAATAGAGCGAGCACAAAATTGTTGGTTTTACTGATTAAACACATATCTTACTTATGCATTAGCCACTACCTTCAGAATAAAAAAAATATATATTGTACTAGGTTTTAAATTCAAAGTACAGAGTTTCCGAATTCGAAGCGGAATTAATTACTTAACATATATTATGTAGTTTTACACTGAATTTTTTGGGCTACATGGGCCCTTAAAGTACATGAGTTTTTAGTAAAAAGATCGTTGGGCCGTGTTATGTTAGTTACTAACAACACGTGGTATGATATTTCAACGAGTATCGCGGCTACGCGCCACGCACTGCGTCTGTTGAGCGGCCAGAGCGCGGGAGAGACTCGAGGCAGGTTCACTCAATAGCGTGTCTAGGTCACCCTGCTCCACGACCTTACCGTCTTCAAGAACTACTACATTGTCGTATCCACGCACAGATGACACGCGATGCTGTGTACAATTATCTCATTTAAATATACACATACAATTCCAGCAATAAGAGATCCTTAAATAGTCTGATTAATAGCTTTTAAGTTAGAAGTTTATTTGAAGTACCTTTAAATTTTTTGTAACTATAAATTCTTATATGTTACAAATATATATATGTAAGCCAGCAAGTTACCAAAAAAATTTATCGACCTTATTGGCAAATCAAGTACGTCAAAAACTATATTATTGAAAAGAAGAAATCTTTGTATCGCATACTTAGTACGAGCACGGATCACATAATACTAAACTAGTACAGATGCCTCATCTCATACAAAGAAATTGGACAGCGCTAACTCGGGCCATTTTTGTTTGCTTGAATAGATAAAATAGATGTCGTTAATCCACCATAGTTAAACTTTATGTAATTTATTTTATATTTATGTGCAAACTAATGTATGGTCAATATTGTAAAATTCATTCTAGTCCCATATTCAATTAAACAAATTTCAGTGATTTCAACCATTTTTAACCGTGATATAAGTACAACTCATAAAAAGTAAAAGCGCCATCTGTGAATATACACTACAAACCCATGATCTGATTGCCGATATTTCAATAATCAGTAAAAATACGCAAATTTGATTTATGGGCGCATTATTTCATTCCCCTTCACATTTAAAACCATATTAATATACTTTTTTGGGATCTATTTTTTTTATCTTTTATTAATTTGAAATAACTGTAATAACTAATCGATATATGTAACGTCATCTGTTAACATTTATTTGAACTAATTTTTCTTTGTTCGTGATGAGACCCCGTGGTACGATGTACAATACTTACAGCAACGGTAATGATAGTAGTGTTAGGTGCCATGGCCGAGAAGGCTTGCAACAGCATGCGCTCGGCGGGCGCGTCGAGCGCGGCGCCGGGCTCGTCCAGCAGCAGCGCGGCCGCGAATTGCGCGTGCAGCGCCGCGCGCGCCGCGCACACGCGCGCCCCGCGCCCGCCCCACCCGCCGCGCCATCCGCTCACGCTACACTCTATTATCCATAAAACGATTTCATCTTATTCAACTCTTGCTTCCCATCAAGCTTAAACACTTGATGACTTTACTAATTACAAACAAATTCGATCTTATTAGACCCGTGTTTCTTATCAAGTTAAAAGACTTAGTTATACCTGGGTAACGTCTGCGCCTTAAGTATTTTTTAATTACGTATTAATTAGATAAATTGTTTTAAAGACGCTTAAGTTTCATAATTAGTTAAAATTTAAGTCAATACAGGAAAATGTGTGACACGAAAACTGCGTATGTAGCATATTTCTGCGCTTAAAGAGGAATTTGAATGTCGAGTAGTAAAAAATATCGTATTTTATAATAAAGTTACCATAAATTCAGAAAATAAATACCTACCTAAACCAGCTGATTGTGCTGTAACGTGGTCGTAAAGGCCAACGGCACGAAGACTCCGCCAGATTTCTTCGTCAGTATGTACTGCGAGCGGGTCGAGGTTCTCACGCAGAGTTCCCGAAAACATTACAGCTTCCTGTGGCAAAACCACTACTCGATGTCGCAATGCACGCAACGGGACATTCAAAATATCTTGACCGTCAATTAGCACACGACCGCTGTGGATTGTAGTTGCTCCCGCGCAAGTCAAGAGTAAAGTTGATTTACCACTTCCGCTACGACCACAAATTGCAACCTAAAAGAAAAAAAAACAAAGTGTAAGTATGTACCTACTAATGTTACATTATAGGTAAGCACCAGTAAATCGAATACTTAATTAAATGTGCACCTTTTGACTCGGCTTTACAATAAGGTTGATATTCTTGAGCACTGGCGCTGCGTCTTCTTGATGCTGTATGCTTATGTCTTGAAATTCTATTTTACCATCCCTTTGCCAATCTAAAGGAATTGGACCTTGAAATTAAAAAAAGGATATTAATTAGATTTTATTCTTTAGATATTTAATTAGATACTAAGTATTTGAAGTTGAAGTGTAAAGAATAAACTCATTAAAAAAATCAAATAAAATAGCTTTACAGTCATCTCTATAATCTTCCTGAGGTATATTAGTGTCAGTATGAAGTCGCTGCACGGAGTCGAGCTGCAGGTGGAGGTCGGCGCGGCACTTGGCGAGGTGCGCCAGGTACGCGGGCAGCAGCAGCGCGTACGCGCCCGCCAGCGCCGCCGCCGCGCCGCCGCCGCCGCCGTACAGCGCCGCCGACAGAGACACGAATACGCTAGCGGCGCCCACCATGTCCTGACGGTAAAATGTTTAACATTTACTTACAACAGATACTTTAAATTTTATGTAATTATTTTTTTTTCTGCTTTCAATAGTATAAGTAAAATAGTATAGAATGATTTAATACTATCGTTTTGAAAGTTATCTTATTCGGTTTAAATATAAATTGTTACATCATAAGCTGCAAATTATATATCTATAATTATAGTAGATAATAATGATTTAAAAGTATATAAGTTTAGAAATGTTTACTTACCAGTGATAAACTTAACCACCGATTAGCAGAATTAAATAGTAACAAGGCATAATGGTTTTGATCTAGACGGTGGCAGAAAGCGCCGCGCATTCGCGTCCTCATCCTGCCCGCGCGCACCGTTACGGCTCCAGCTAGCGTCTGGGACGCCAGCGACACCACGCGCGCTGCACTCTCAGCTTCCATGTGCTGAAGTTCCCTATAAAGCGCCAATTTTGACATAGGTATAGATACGAGGTAGATATTACTTAGAACTCGTGCATTTTGTGTTTTTTATTTCTTACCTGGCATTTCGGAGATATATGGATTGTAAAAGAATATATAATATAAATGCGGGTATCATCGCAAGCAGAGTCCATGGCGATGCCACAATATTAATGATTACGGCAGCGCCACAAAGAAAAGCCAACTGCGCCCATCTGTTTATAGCTGTTGGTAATTTCTAAAATAATAATAAAAATTAAATAATCATCATTAATGTGGATTTTTATAAATATGGTGATATTCGGGTATTTATATTACCTTATCAACTACAAGTGTATCAGAAGAAAATCGATGTAGTGTGTCACCAGCAGGGTGTGTATTATGGTAGTTAATCGGTGCGTGTAGAGTAGCATGAAGTAGACGCTCATGTAAAACTCTTCTCGATACAGCGCCTGCGCAAGCGCAAGCAACCTGCGCACAGCCCGCCACGCACACTCCGCCTGCACTCCACAGTGCGTAGACACTTATTAAATTCCATGTCTGAAATTCCATTATTATTGGTGCACATTTAAAAAAGATCTACAGTATTATTAAAGGATCTTTAATACAATATGTTATTTAATCAATTGTAATATATGATCGGAGAGTTGAATCCATTGATGAAGTTAAACAATAACTTTCTATAAGAATTTATTTGAAAATAAGTAATTTATAAACGACTTAAAGCAAATATTACCTGTTCATCGGTGAGAGATTGTTGCGAGTTCTCTGCAGCGAGGAGCGAGAGCCAGTAGTCGGCCGTGAGAGCGACCGCCTGCGCCGCCGCAGCACAGAGCACATACGCTGCCCCCCACCAACCACAAGCGCGTGCGTATTCCCACCATATTGCGCTCTATTTAATTATATAGACAAATAAATGGTTATAATCGTTTTTTAAACTACAGTTATACTAATATAATATTACAACAACTTTAAAATTTAAATAGAACTTTATAATTGAGTTGTATTAAAATAAAACAATTGAGTACCGAACATTATTTACAGATACTGCTTGCACTTATTTTACTAAGCACTGTCGCACAAAGTATTTAAAAGAAATAAACAGGCCGGAATCCGCAGGCAGATAGTAGATAGTAATTAAATATTACTTACGACTCTGGAAGATCGTGAAAGTATCACTCGTATCAGCTTTAATTACCTCGTTTAAAACAGGTTCTATTACTTCTTTATTAGTAGTTGGTGTTTGAGAAATTGGCTTAGCGGACGTCTCGATACCATTTGAAGTTATTGAGGTGAATGTCGCATCGGGTGGTGCCTCGATGATCGTACCTTATGAAGATAAATATTTCATATTTTGAGTCAATTGTATTACCAATTTCATTTACGAGTGTTATAATAATATTAATGAACTTTATTCATAAATAAGGAAATTGCAATTTTACAGTAAAGGCTTGTAGAATTCAATTTTTACGATAAATTTACTGTAGATTAATTATTGATAACCAGTTGATAGATATTTTATTAATTTAAGATTGTTGTATTATACACTTATATTATAGACATCTTGCAAAATGTGAAAGATAAATAAATGTTTAAGATAAATATAAGAAAAAGATAGGTACCTATGCAAACTAATAATGTACATATAGATTTACAAAACGTTAAATGGTAAAGTTCCCTCAATATTTTGACATGATTATTGTGCCAAAGAGGTGGTTTAGAATGCGTTAAAAAATCGTGAATTCAATGTAAATAAAAAAATAAGCTTCGAAGTACAAAGTTAATATGGCTTTTCCAAATTTTTTTTGGAAAATCTTATTGAAATGGTCATTATTTATACGGAGACCGAATCTATAGTTTTGGAATTTTGTCTGTCTGCCTGTCTATGACCGCATAAAGGAAAAACCACTGAAGGGATTTTGATGGAATTTGGTACGGTGATAGCTGGTTATCCGGATCGACATATAGGATACTTTTTACTGCGGGAAAATATCTCATCTCTGAGAAATCTATACTAAACGTTAAAACGTAAATAGGAACGAACCCGAGTGGAGCGAGGGTAAGTCGCTAGTTTTTTAATATAATTAAATATTAGATTCCGCTATATATGATTAGGTACCTATGTATCTAATTACATAGTTTTATAACTACAAACACGCTGGTTAAGTCACATTTAATTACCATTATTTTGTACTTCGTGAGTAGATGTTTCGGGGTCGATACTCAATAAACGTTGAAGAGTTCTAGGAGTCCATCTGTGAACATTACAAAACAAGCAGTGAACCAGATGAGACTTCTCGTTGGCAATGTAGCTGGACGCTTAAACACAATTTATTTTCAAATAATTTCTACATTTGTAACTTCATAACAAAAATAGTAAACTTATATACTAATTTTAATTTTGAAAGTTAGTATAAAATACTTCAGGGAATTTTCAAAAAGTCTGCTTTAGACCTTAGAGCTCACCTTTTCACATTATATAAGGAACCCCTGTGCAAAAACACACACTTCTACATGTTGAAGCTAGGCCTTAGGCTATGCCTTTTCTATCAGTAAGGCAATGAAAGATAAAGTGTTATTCTCAAAATTTGTGGTATTTTACCTAGACAATGTCCGGTACGGGCGATCGCCTATAATGCGCCGCAGCAAACTTGCTTCATGTTGCAAGATTTCGTTTGTGGCATCAGCACTTACTGCCCTTCTAACTTCTCGAGACCACCTTGTGAAACATGCAATAAAATCTTTACTTATCATATAGTTATACATATCAATATGACTATGCTAATTGCTAGGTATAGTGCTACATGGAATAGAAACATAAATAAAACATTTTTATTCGAACTTTTTCGAACACATTACCTTTCGTCTGGGAAACCTGGGTTTTTTTAATTTTTAATTTATGTTTATTCCTGGCTTTTTTTTAATTTAGTAGTAAATAGTAATTTTAATAGTACCTAAATGCAATACATTCATTTAAATAAAATAACCGTTTGGAGATACATGTGTATACTGTATCGCCCCCTGGCGGTCTGTAAGATTATATAACTTATCTAAGAACATGCTCAGGAATGAGAAAACAAAGCGAAAAACTATTTCCAAATCGGCCGAGTCGTTTCCGAGGAAATTGGTAACAGATACACACACAAACATCTCTTACCCCAAACGCATGCACCGTCGCCTTGGCCGTTGCGGGTAAAAACGGACTTTATCATCAATACTACTTTAGACAAAACTCACTTTAAACGCTGCATTGACGATGGTGGGGAAGAAAACTGTCGAGATAGCGATAGTCGTATTCGTTTTGCAGTTCGCCTCCAGCTACCGCCTATACAGATTGGTACCTCAGTCAGTAAATGGGCTCCAATTACTTCGTTTATCTCTATCTGTTAAAAATATATTATTATTCTTTATATTATTTTTAAGTTTGGACTTTCTCAAAATCCTAAGGATTTTGGTATATAATGAAGTCCGTGGGCCTGAGCCAAGAGTAGATACTTCATTGGAATTATTAGGGTATTATATTAACATCTTCCTCTTGTAGAAACTTTCTCACTATATGGCCTGTATTTAGAATAGTTGCTTTTAGCATAGTGTAGTACGTGGTGTCAGGTAAGTCTATTGTTCTCATAGTTTAGGAATTAAACCCGTGCTGGAGAGCACAAGCGGTACGATATATACTGTTTTCATTTTCCAGATTCTAATTATTTCTTCCTTAAGTTCAGTATATTTTTGTAACTTTTCTGTTATTCTTTATATTATTAATAAGTATATGTTATTAATAGTTATTATTATGTAGCAAAAAATGACCAAACGATTAGGTTTTATGAAAATTTACGTTCTATTGAACTTATTAAGTTTGTTAATAACACACTACCGACTTATGCTCGCCTAACAGTAGCCGATTAAGCAATTGAGCGCATATATGTCTCTGCTCTATTAGTGTAGTATTTTATTTTTATTATAAAATACTACACTAATTTAATTTAATCCATGTTTAAAAGATAGGAATATTATTAACTTAACATACCAAAGTATCATCTGATATTTGTCGTTGGAATTCTTTCCGGCTTATAGCCCTTAACAGTTGTAAGCGTTCGCGAGCGCTACCACCCGGAGGCCCCGCACCGGCGCGTCCCGCCGCCATGCGTGCCTCAGCAGCAAGCTGGGCCCATTGACTGATTACACCTTCGGACATTGTGCTGAAACGGCCAACTCCATTCACGCGGCCGTCTTCCATTGCTATTACCTGTTATAAAACATATTATTAAAACTCTTCAGATAATTAATTTAAATCTTGCACATTATCTTGATCAGACAAACAGAAATAAAACTGTGAATTTCAACTTACAATTACTAACATATTACGAGTATATATTGTCAAAACAGAACCTCTCGCTATAGAATGAAAGTCTGAATATATACATATCATGCATGTATGAATGGACTAGGTTCGTAAAGGTCCAACACAAATCTTGATAAGCTTCCATGCCCGATGAAACCTTCTCTACTGAATTTTGAGATTTACAAGAAGTGGCTTAAGTGGTTAAAATCTTATCATTTTCGAGTGTCTCTAATAAAGATCAGTTTGAAGAAGAAGAAACATTAGCAAAATCACGATGATATATGTAGATCTATAGAATATAAATAAAAAATACTAAACATGTTTACCATATCTGCATAGTGGAGAAGTTCTAATCTATTTGTAGCTAAGACGACGCTACGACCAGCACGAGCAGCCGGTAATAGCGCCTTTACAACTACTTGTCGAGCTAGTATAGCGTCAAGAGCACCAAACGGCTCATCCAATATGATTAGCCTTGCTCGCGAGTATAAAGCGCGTGCGACGCACAAGCGCACTCTTTGTCCTCCTGACAATGGCGTGCCGTAGCTCCCTAAACAAGTACTGTCGCCATCTATAAGAAAATTTGTTAAGAATTTGTAAAATATCTGAGAGAAGCGATAAGAAAATTGAACTAAAAAGGTTACCCGGTAAAAGCTGCAAGTCAGGTCGCAAGCCTGTCGCACGTAGGACACGTGCATATTTTTCAGCACACCATGTGCTACCCATAACTATATTATCTTTAATTGTGCCTTCAAGAAGCCAAGGTGGTTGACCAGAGTACCACATTGAACAGTGTCTATAAACAAAAATGATTTTATGAGACTTAAGTTAAACTAAACGGCGAGAGAATAGGTCAAGTCATGTTGGAATTATTGATATTTAAATAATTAATAAAGATTATACCTGCTAACGTTCACTTCTCCTTTCTCATGGTGCAGCTCTCCAAGAATAGCTGAGAGCAAGGACGACTTACCAGAACCAGAAGCACCAACTACCATTAGTAATTTACCTAAATATGAATAAAAACATTAATGTTACATACTTATACATTTCTTACTCGTATATTGTACACTCATTTAACGTAAAGTATGTTTTTAAATTACCGTCATTTACCTGCTGGTATATCTAAATCATCAATTTCTAGCCACGTGTTCTGAAAATCTTTAATTTTCCATGAAAAAGCAGCATTTTTAAATTTCATTAAATATTCTTGTCCTTGGACAGTGGTGTCATTTCTTTTGGGATTTCTATCAGACAGATCGTCAACATCTTCATTTATCTCATCCCGTTCTGAAAGTGGATTTTCTTCAGGACTAGCGTCAAGAAAGGTACCATTTAACTTTTCTGGTTCATTACTTAAACTTGAGTCGTCATCAATGTCAAGTCGTGCATTGTATGATTCTGGAAGTTCCAAAAAATCTTTTATCCGTTTCGAGCTGACCTGAAGAAAATTTCTTTTATTTATTGGTAGTTTCACGTTAATAGAGAGCACGTATTATGTAATGATAACCTAAATTACATTGTGAGCTTACCATTGCTTGAATGATCATTAGCACAGTTACAGGTAGAATTAATAATGGTATTGTCAATTGATTGAATAGTGCTAATCCAGCAAACACATTCACGACATTTAATGATGTCGTAGTTTCCAAGTAATAATGCATGGTGAACGTTATGATTGTGACCAATATTCCGGAAACTTGCATTGTAAAAGCTGGAATTATTAAATTATTTTAAATTTATAGAAAACTGAATAAAATTCCTCAATGGTATATTTACTTACTCAGAAGTCCCCAGTATGCAGAGTCTTTATTAAGAGTTTTTAATTCAACTTCTCTTAATTGCAATATTTTCTCGTTAAATAAATCTTCCCATACATATAGTTTTATGACATTCATACCTTGTAAAATTTCTGATATTTTTGTTATTCTATGGTCAGTACATTTTGAGATATCTTTTGTGTTGCACGAAATCTTTTTACCTATGTAGAGTTGTAAAGGAGTTATAATCAAGAGACTGATTGCCGTGCCTATTATTGCACTTATTCCCAGTTTTGTATAAAGTAAATATAATATAAAAATTACCTAAAAATAAAAAGAAATTGTAACAAGATTTTTTTCTAATAAATGCTTAAACAAAAATATTTTCCGATACTCACTTTCAAAGGTATCGCCCATGTATAATGAAGTATCCAAACGCACGACATGATGTTATAAGTATCTTGCGATACTAAGTTCGTGAGTAGGCCGGACTGAGTATCAGCTTTGTTTTCGGTTTTCTCTAGTAAAGGTGAGTCTTCATTTGAATCTAAGCCCGTAGACCATAGGGACAATCGCGTGCATTTGTCATAAATTGTACTCTTAAATCAAAGATGTTTTATTAATAGAGTGTTTTTGATTGTACGAGAAATAAAATTGGATTAGCAGAAGATATACGCACTTGTAAAGCCATTTTTAGCCTGGTACCTTCCACTGTAATTAAGTGAGTAGAATTTTGTGACAATAAAGCTTGAAGAATCAATGCTAGTGTAACAATAACTAGCATCGCGTAGCCATTTGATAATAATTCTTGAATAGTAACCTCAGATTTAGAGTCGTAGTTAAAAATTGGATCTTCTACGAATTGTATAATAACAGCTAATCCTAACGCTGGTATGACGCTTACTAAATCGCTACAAAATTTTAATATTCCTGCAATATAAAAGTTTGGCCAAACCATACGCACATAACATTGCCATATATTCAGTCTGTTTTCGTTACTTATTGAGACCTGAAAATAAAAATAAATTCATAATTACCTTAAATATTATTGGTTAAACAAGGCATTAAGCACATTTGAATACCTACCTTTTGATTTCGGTGTAGTTTTTTAAATTTATCGAAATATGTTTGTGATTGCTCATTTTCAGGTATATCTCCAAAGTCTTCTTTTTCTATAGGTGACCAGTAACCATTATACAATGTCCGGTTTAACCAAAAGAAAGTTACTTTTGAATAAAAGTGAGTTTGGTCATATTTGTACAAAGTGTTTTGAGCTTCTATCGAACTTTTCTGTCGATCTTGCGAACTTCTTTTAACCTGTCCAAATTCACCAAGTCATCTAATATTTATAATAATTGTTAAATTATGTTTAAAGTTTAAGTGTAATATCAAAGTTATTAAGGCATGTTTGGTAAGCTACGGAAAGAGCGGCGCCCGACTAGACGTGCGTCTCGTGGCGGGCGTCTGGCGTCTCATATTCAATAAAGTGACAAAGTCTGAGTCATTCAAATTTTGGGGGAATGGCCTGCAGCTACAAAGAAAGTGCAATGCCTTACTCATATGATTCCTAGTTTTTTTTTAATTCCTTTCACTATTTATGAAACATTTCTTATTCTCGTATGGAATTACTTTTTATTGACTTACGGAATTATAGCTATTACAATTATTATTGAATCATATTTTTAAATTTTATTCACTTACGGAAAAGTTTTAAATAATCAAATATTTTAAACACCTACCTAAGGTTAAGTGTTTTGTTATAGCTGTAGGTAATTGCCGAAAGTAAAAGAATACAGTGAAATTGAATGTATTTTATTTATAGTATTCTTTCCTATTTATGTACCTACTATCTATAAATGATTATTTATTATCAAAACTAGTATCAAAATTATTACTATCAATTAGCATCCTAATGTTTCGTAAACCTATTACGTAGTCATATAAAATAGAGAAGTTATTGAACTTACTTCGTCATAAAAACATAGCCAGTCCACTCCTGAAATGATAAACGCCAAAATCATTCCGACACCATGTACATATATTTCAACATGATTAGAAGAAACCCCGAGGAGCAGAAAGCGGTACACGATAATCCCCGATGTGGCTGATGACAGTAACCAGTAGATTACTAAGTAAAGTATAGGGGCTGTCGACCGACGAGTCCACAAAGATATGTGCATAGCCGCTGCAGCGACCCAGGCAAGGGGGGCCATCAGTGCACCAACAAGTCTCACGGTGTCTCCGGGACGCAAGGATGCGGATGCTGCGCCACAGCACCATATTACTCCTAAAGCGAGACTAGCTATCCCTCTAATATTTTGACCTCGCCATCGTACACCATACCTGTAAATGTTACAACAGTAGGTACCTTATCTATATGAAACGGTAATATGTATTTTAATAATTTTACTACACATTTTCGTAACGAAAGTTGTTAACTGCATTGAATACAAGTGCCTTTGGAGGTCAGATCAGATTGTTGTATCTTTTATACTGTCAAATTTTAGAATAATAAGGTTGGAGTATTTTATGAAATTATATAATGTTCTTAGTTATTAGTCGAGTTGTGAATTAAATTATTATTTGTATGCATATACATATGAGGTGGAAAAAAAATTGGATATAGTTTTCTATTTCTAAATAGTCTTTTACGTTCTTTTGTTTGAAATTTTTTTTAGAAAGTAATCATTTTGTAAGCTAGAGTATTAATGTAGCGCTAGAAAATATCTATTGAGTGACATTGACCCGATATTAAAAATGAATACGCTTGCAATTTGCTTATAAATAGATAGGTACGTTCAAATAGATCTACTTATTGCTAGTCTAATTATTAGAGTTTCGTTGCTAAGAGCTGAAAACGCCTTATATTTTTGTCACATTCGCCTGTCCGTGTGTTACAGTCATTTTATTTGGAATCTATGGTAGTTACTAGGTATATAGCTGAAGTGTTGTAGGAAGATGTTTCATATGGTAGGTGCTTTTAATTCTAGGTTTATTTAGGTCAATAGTTGCAGAATTATACACTTTCACATTGTGTCGGCAGAGTCGTAAAATTCAGATTTTTTTGCTAAACTTCTATTTCATGTCTTATTTCATGGTACTGGAAATATATTCTATATTTTTAAATTAATTACACGGACAGGGGTTTATTTAAGTAAACACACGAGACACAATCAAGAATGGATTTGACATTTAAATTAAGGCACACCATGCTTGTATTTCTTGATAAATGTACATATTGCAACAATAAATATTATATAATATTAGATAAAATTCAAACCGGCGAGGTCGTGGCGAGGAACAGCAACAGATGAGAGAGGAGGAGATGGCAGCACAGTAGAGGCTGAGCGAGTGTAGGGCCGCTGCCAGCGCGTGCGCCTGACACGTGCCGTCTTCTCGCACGCATAACGCGTCCATGTTCTTGTAGCTTTAATTAAATTCTAATATGAATTTTTATTTTCACTCAATTGACACATATGATAATATCCTTCAGTCAAATATAGTTATACAGAATTATGAATAAGATTAATTAATATCCCTTACTCTATCTAAGTATACCCTATAGCGACGTACGTTTATGCAACAATCCGTGTCAAAGGACCACTATTCACTTTGCTTCTCTTTATATACTTTTCAGCTCATAATAATACAACAATAAAGTTAGTATATGTGAACCATATAAAACTCCTCTAGGACCTGGTAAGATTTACTTACGATGATCGGTGCTATTACTTCAGTATATATGTGGGTCTTACATTTACAATTACTTATTTGTGACACATTTTTATCTTGTCGATTGTGCACCTGATTTGTGTGGATTGTGTAGATTGTCATATTATCACAAAAAAAACAATTAAAAGAACAGGTAGGAAGAAATATTAAATTCTATATTTGGTGTACGAAAGACATGATTGTGAAGTCTACCAACTCGCACTTGGCCAGCTTGGTGGATATCGGTCTGTTTCTCCTTATATTGAGATGCCCTTGCCTAATAGGGGGACGTTAAGGGCTGAATACATGTGTCGTTTTATAACTATTACTTCTGTTGTTAGTATTATTTATATGGACTTAAGTATATTATTTTATAAGATGAAAATCGTTATCTATACATATAATAAAATTCTAACTAAGTCAAATATGTACATTAAATATTTTTTAGAAAATGTTATTGAAATAGACATTATTATCGATACAGAGGCCGAATCTATAGTTTTTAGAATCTTTGTCTGTCCATCCGTCCGTCCGTCTGTCCGTCCGTCCGTCCATTAAATATTTTTTGGAAAATCTTATTGAAATAGACATTATTATCGATGCAGAGGCCGAATCTATAGGTTTTAGAATTTTTGTCTGTCTGTCTGTTACCGCATCACAGAAAAACTACTGGACGGATTTTGATGAAATTTGGTATGGCCATAGCTGATTATCCGGGTCAACATATAGGATACTTTTTACCGGAGAAAAATATCTCATTTCTGAGGAAAAATACAAAAACTGGTTAGAATAAAAAAACGATGATACTACCTATAATATAGATTTTAGCAAGTTAACTTACTAAATATGTCAAAAACTATTAAAAATAGCTAATCTTGAAAAAGTATATCAATAGCACTATTTTATTCATGAAAAAAATTATTTCAATGAATATTTATTTTTATTTTATTTAGATATTTGTCAATAGATGTCGCTATGTGTCTTTAAAATACGTAGTTTTAATTCCAAAAAATTGAATGTACAAATTTGACCTTTCTATGATTTTATTAGAATTACTACTAAATTACCCGCGGCCCCGCCCTTGTTTAAATTATCAAAAAACAATTTTATTGAAATACACATTATTATCGCTAACAGAGGCCGAACCTCTCTTTTAAGAATTTTTGTCTGTCTGTCTGTCTGTGACCGCATCACAGACAAATCACTGCAGGGATTTCGACGAAATTTGGTATGGTAATAGCTGGTTATCCAGGTCAACTAATATACTAATACGAGTATACTAATATATAAAACCTAAGAATTTGATTTTGGTCATATGAACGCGGACGGAGCCGCGGGCAATGCTAGTGTATGTATATAATTTTATTATGGTGCAAATAGACTATGAATTAAACATTTTATACTTATATTTAAAGATTTTAAGCAATATGTTATTTGTTTACATCCTTATTCTTTCTTGCGTCAATAACGATTTTTTTGGTCAGGGTGACTATGGCCTTACGGATTAGTTGAGGTTAAATCATTAGTTATTTTTAAGCAAAACGAAAAGGTTCTGAATAAGACACTGAGGTTAGCACTTCATAATGAAATATATCAAAAAAATGTACTAATAAGTGATATTATATTTATACATAGCGTACTGCAGTGCAGTGGAGTGCGTCATGCACAATTAACAGCTCATGGTTGGTTATCCCCAACTCACAATTGGAACTTTGCAACATCCGGATGAGCATATTACATTACGTTAAATGAATAGGAAGAGGAAGTGGCCATATATACATAATTTTGATGTGCAATAGTAAATAAAGGTATATCTATACATATAATAAAATTGTAACTAACTCGAATCTGTACATTAAATATTTTTTGGAAAATGTAATTGAAATAGACATTATTATCGACACAGAGTCCGAATCTATAGTTTTTAGAATTTTTGTCTGTTTGTTACCGCATCACGAGAAAACCACTGAACAGATTTTGATGAAATTTGGTATGATGATAGCTGGTTATCCGGGTCAACATATAGGATGCTTTTTACCGCGGGAAAATATCTCATTGCTGAGAAAAAATACAAAAACTGCACTGTAAGAGTATACTAATATGTAAAACCTAAGAATTTGGTTCTTGATCATCTACTATGCTAGTTAATGCTAGTTTATTATATAAATATCTATACTAATATTATAAATGTGAAAGTTTGTGAGTATGGATATATGGATGTTTGTTAGGTATTCTTTCGCGACAGAACGGCTGAACAGATCTGGATGAAAGGCACAGAGATAGATTATAGTCTGGAATAACACATAGGCTACCACCATATACTTTTATCCCGAAAAAATCTTTGGTTCCCGTGAGATAGGTTTATCTTTGTTTTTCTAGCTAGCTAATATTAATATATATGACGGTATATGTTTTATATAAAACTTGTTTTAAATATTTGCAGGACATCAATATCTATATATTCATTAGGACTTGCTTACGACAAGGCTGAATTAATTAATTAATTAATTTAACGAAACTCTCTCTGCCCGGTTCACGTCGAATGTAATAGCTATAGGTTATGTCAAAAATAATAAGATCTGTTAAGTATTTAAAAATTACTCGCCATATTATATTCTAAGTGAACACGGTTGTATAATATTTAAGATGCAATTTGCAAATTGTCCCAAAGTAACAAAATATAGAGTAGAAAGAGGTTTGTATGTTATATACGTATCTGTACCTACGCGCATTGATCTGTAGGTAGGTATACTTTAGTGTTATCAATAAAAAATGTTGGAAACAGTTTTTTATAGAGATAGATAATTTCTATTCATATACAGTTTTCTCAGTCGTTTTCTCTTCAACTAGGCGAACTGTAGGTATGATTATTATTTATTACCCATATCGTATTTTGCATGTTCAAATACCGTGAAAAAAGGGGATCTTATATAATGAACTATGAAGAATGTACCTATAAGATATCCTGCAGGGATATAGGACTTTTGTTACAGTTTTGATATTGTTGAAATAAGAAATTTAAAATGTCAAATATTCGCGTAAATCTAAGAAAGTATTAAGAAACTTAAAAGGTTATTTTTATCACATCAGTTTCGTTTATATTGTTAAGCATAATACAAACAAACGAAATCACTATGTACATATAGTAATAAAAAATAGGAATGCGTAAGGAATGATACATCAATGGCCCACGGAAAGTATACGAAAGCAATATTTACACAACATCCACATAAATCTCAATACATTTACTATGCGAGAAACACTTTAATGTTTTTTAAATTATATAATTTTGTTTAAATTTGCCGCCTCTCAAAACTTGCGGGAAATTTGCATTTAACACTCAATATACCTACTTGAACTAAACTACTTAATAGTCTAAGTTGAATTCTTAATATCATAACTAGCTCAGGTACCTACCCTCCACAGAGAAGTTAAACGGAACGTATAAATAATACTGTCACACATGTAAAGTGAAAGCTGATTTACTATAAAATAAATGAAATGTGCAGCACCTTTATTAATATTCACAAAATAGTCAATTTAATTCACTATACTTTAACTTCCACAAAGAGGCACTTCACGTTTTAAAACCACACTGTTAAATTAGAATAAATTACAATATTTTTAATGATTGTCCATTGTGTTTAAAATGATAGCATTAGATGTAAAGGCATGATGAACGTGTAGTGTTTTATATTCAGTAAACGATGCGATAGTGTCGGAAAAGATCGGACTGACGCCACATACGCGAGTCGCGAGCAACGCTAACACCCTACATACACTCGCGAGAGACTGAGTAGCTCGCTCGAGTTGGAACCTTATCAACCGCGGTCGTCATATGCAAGACGCAACAGACCTCCTCAGGCACTCCGCACTGCACTTTGAAGTCAGTATTCAGTACACTGCAGCTATTCGATTAGAATACGTTCACAGTATAAGTGAGCTTTGAGCGTTGTATATTAAAATAAATAAAATTATGTATTCTTTTACCGCAAAAAATTTTTTACATTTGCATTTATTAGAACAGCTGTAGGCACAGCTGCTGAGGCGTGGAAAAGATCGCGAAACCGGGGTACGAGGTCGACGTTCAACCTACATTTATACTTATCGTGTAAAACATGCCCTCCTTTTCATTAACTAAGTTAACCTAAACCAATTTCTCTCCATTTTAACTAGTTAACATGAGTTTCTTTAATTTCGTTTGTTCGTTATATATAAAAAAAAACATAGAGTCGAATTGAGAACCTCCTCCTTTTTGAAGTCGGTTGAAAATAGAAGTCTATACATATAATAAAATTGTAAATGAGCCGAATCTGTACATTAAATATTTTATGAAAAATCTTATAGAAATAAACATTATTATCGATATAAAGGCCGAATCTATAGTTTTTAGAATTTTTGTCTGTCTGTCTGTTACCGCATCACAGAAATCCACTGGAGGGATTTTGATGAAATTTGGTAAAGTGTTAGCTGGTAATGCGGGTCAACATATAGGATACTTTTTACCACGAGAAAATATCTTATTTCTGAAAAAAAATACAAAAACTGGTTAGAATAAAACCACGATGATACCATATATATTTTAGCAAGGTAACTTACTAAATAAGGCAAAAACTATTAAAAATAGCTTATCTTGAAAAAAAATACAATAGCGCAATTTTATTTGGTTTTTGGTCATCAGACCGCGGGCGGAGCCGCGGGCAATGCTAGTTAATCTATATAAATAAAAATGAATGACCGAAATGTATGTATACGTACGCATAACTTCCGATCGACTGCACCAAATTGGATAATTCTTTTTTTTGTGTTTGTTATTGTCAGGACAAGCTTTGTATAGAAGAGAATTAAAAGAATTTTTTTTACTAAAATAAGTTTTTTTTAAATCTCATGATATGCAAAATGTGTGAGTGAAAGTTTGTATCTCGGAAATCATCCCTTAAGGGAGTGAGAATGGGGATGAAAGTTTGTATGGGGAAACAAGCTAGAAACGAACCAGAGCGAAGCGAGGATGAGTCGCTAGTATTAAATAATTAACGAAAATAAGTAACGCATTGTAAAAATGTACTACGTAAATGTTGCTATTTGAGTGTCATAGTACCTTAATAGTTTAAACTGTAGTTGGCTTGTGCGTGATCGTCGACTCTGTCAAATACAGGATTTCGCGGAGCAGAATCCCATTGTGAAGTGAATGGTTGTATTGATTTTATTATTCATATATTATATGTGTTACTAAAACACGGTCTGGGAAAGAATAAGGACAGCGCTTAGGGACGTAGTAGGTATTTATTCTGCGAGCTGGAGCATTGCTCGCTTATACATGAGCGTATAGCTGCAATGCATCTGAGTATGGGCGGGAAGTGGGAACCATCTCAGAGATTATCGCATTTTCTACTTCGTAAGTGAAAGAGATTATAATTAATACGTATACAAATATTTCTTAATTATTTATTTATTTTAGGGAAACAAACAGTACGATATTACATAAATAATTAATAATAATAGATGACACATAAACCAATGAAGTTTCCACAAATTAAACAATACACTTAAGAAGCAGACCATAATGAAAATGATAAAAACAAAAAGCTAAACAATAAACTAAAAAATTACAAAATGAAACACTGCTTAACATGAATAATAAAAAAAATAAAAAATAAGGAAAAACATAAAATACATAAAATACAAAATCAACAATTAAACAATAGGCTATTAATACTATTTTTGAAACTTAAAAGTGAATTTGAAAATATGTCTATACTTGTAAATTTTTATTATACTCATTACATGAGCGAAGTATAAAGGTATTTCGAGCATATTTCGTTCTAGTACATGGCAGGTCAAAAATATCGTGATTACGCTTACTACATTTTGGAACCTTAAAATTCAAACAGCTTAATAAGAAAGGGCTATCAATGAAAGTATTTAAGAGTTTGAAAAGAAAAATTTGATCTCTAAGCATGCGTCGCATCTCTAAAGGTGGACATTGATCATGACTATAAAATTTATATTGAGTATATTTTATAAATTTAAGTTGTATTTTTTGTATAGAATTTATATATACCTTATATTGTGGGTTCCAGATTGATGAACCAAATTCCAATATCGAGCGTACTAGACTATATGTATATAATGTTTAAACTCTTTACCAACTCTTAGTATAAAACCAAGCATTCGATAGGCCTTAGCCACAATATAATCTACGTGAAACACTGAAACTTAAATGTTAATTTGTTATCCAGGTAAATACCCAAGTCTCTCACCTGAGACACACGGGTAATAATTTCGCCTTTTAGGTGATAATCATAAATAGTCGGCGATATTTTACGAGTAAAAGAAATAGTGCTACACTTTTTAACATTCAGAGAAAGAAAATTCTCGTTACAATATTTGCATAATTTGTTAAGATCTTCTTGTAATAGTAAACAATCCGATAGTTTAGAGATCTTTCTAAAGATTTTCATGTCATCTGCAAATAATAGTACAGAAGAATGATCAAATATTTGGCAAATATCATTTATAAAAATATTAAATAGCAAGGGGCCAAGGAAATAGCAAGGGGCCAAGGAATTTATTATTATTATTTTTTTGGATTCTAATGTCCGCTTTAATAGTTATGCTATTTTTAACAATGTAAAGTGTATTTTTAAATAGGTATGTAGGTAGGATTAGGTTTTATTTTTAAAGTATTTCTAGAATACTTTTGCCATCACACCGATTTACGTATTGTATAAATATAAAAAAAAACAACAACAACTATATATTTTTTTATTATAGATATATCATATAGTCTTTTAAATAAATTGTACATAGGTATACCTATATAAAAATATCTACATTTAAATATAATTATTAGACTGAACAGATGCAATAAATCAAGATGTTTCGACTTAAAAGTTAATATCCCAGCCAGATGTTTCATCCGGAGGTAGCTTATCCTTAGGATACTTCTCAAAGTTGGAGAGATCGAGGTCATTGGCTACGGGTTGTATAAGTGGTGCTTTTAACTTGCCTTCGCGCAACCCTTCCCAGTCAAATCCGAGGAACCACCTAAGGAAAATAAAAAATATAAATTAGACAAAAATAAAGTGAAATGATTTATTTTTATATTGCTGTGCATGCAATGTGTTTATTATGAAGTAAAATAAATGAAGTAATAATACCAACTTCCGTTATAAACCTTGTCAGAAAAGTATAATAAATACTTATAATGCTAATATTATGAGTATTTCGAAAATGTAACCTATTAAAACAGAAACTGAAAAGCGGAAATAAAACATTTTGATTTGAAGAAGCAAGAAGTTCCTAAGCTAGTTTCTAACTTTGAGTCGGCTTATTTGGATGTTATTCGTAGTCACTAATGTGTACATACAAATATTTGACTACTACTACAGACAAAAAAGAAGGAGGCACTCCATCTCTCTATTGTCTGTTAAAAATATTGTCTTTCTTTATCTATGAAATTACCATTTAATATACAGAAAGGTAGTCATTGTTTTATAAATATTTATTATTTCTATCAATCAATATGCACTTATGCTATCGATGCATCTCTGCCAGCTCACTGGTAATTTTTCAATGCCCTTCTTGAAGAAGGCATTTTGTACTGCCTCTCGGTTATTGAATTTTTTGCCTGTCAAGCAAAGTTGAAAAGTTGTCCAAATTTTGGAAAAAGTAGAAGTCTATCGGCGCGTGGTCTGGTGAGTACAATGGATGACGCAAAACTTCCAACCCTATACTTGTAGCTTAGAGATCGTCTGTTGTGCCTTATGAGGACGAGCGTTGTCGTGTTGGAGCAGCAGGGACGAGTGATTAACCAAGTCTGGCCGGAGATTTGTGAGCTTCTCCATCATTGTGTACAGTTCCTCACAGTACACATCCGCAGTAATAATGGTGTCATTTGGTAAGAAGCTGTGATGAATTATACCGGCACTAGACTACCATATAGTGACCATGACTTTTTTAGGGTGGAATAGGACATAGCTATGTTTCTATTTTCCCGGAAAATGTACGGTTCCCGTGGAATTTGTTTTTGTTTTTCACTAGGGACGAACCCGTGCGAAGCGAGGGTCAGTTGCTAGTATACTAAATAAATGTCTTATTTACTTGTGATTTTTTATATCAACGATGCCATTTTTAAGGTAACCGAGTCGCTCAGCGGGGACCGCCCGGCACAGCTTGCGGATGAGTAGCTGCGCGGACTTGGGCACTCGCGGGTGGAAGGTCACTGCGTCGATGCCCCGCAGGATAAGAGTGTAGGTCTTCATGTGGTCGCCACCGGGCGCGCGGAATGGCGGCTTGCCTACTAACAGCTCGTGCACGAACACGCCCAGCGCCCAACAGTCTACAGCACGATCATGACCCTGTAAAATAAGCATATTGTTGTATAGTGTCGTGTGTAGAACGCCTCCTAATAATTTATTTAATTAATCCATAACAAGAACTGTTATTGCCAATAACTGTACCTATAACTTATTGGTTCGTTGGGAAGTTGGGAAATTGTCGTGAGAAGGGAAGAGCCTACACTTCCCAGAAACAAATTGACATTGCTAGAGCATTTTCCAATTTTCTCTTAATAGCAACGCCTTTGTTTTACGTATATTTAGTATATATGTTAGCAGTACTATGTCGAGCGATACCTACGCTAAATGAGCATTAAGAAAAAAATAGTAAAAGTAATTAGTAAATAAATAGAAATGAAGTGGGGGTGAAACTAAAACTGGTAGTGGAAAATAATGTTCAGCGAGTCTGTCTTTTGTACAAGCAATAAAACATTTACATATATTACAGTGCCTTGTTTTATTATCGGTAGGTACCAGAACTCTAGCTCATAACAAAGCTAACAATCAAGAGTATGTTTTATTTAAAAGTGTTATGAACTCATATACTTAGATAAATATTATGGTGATTTATACCTATATTTAATTTAACTTAACGTTTAGTATATATTTCTCAGAGGTTAGATATTTTTCCGCAGTAAAAAGTATCCTATATGTTGACCGGGATAACCAGCTATCATCATACATTAAAATCTGTTCAGTGGGTTTCTCGTGATGCGGTCACAGACAGACAGACAAAAAATCTAAAAACTATAGATTCGGCCTATATATCGATAATAATGACTATTTCAATAAGATTTTCCAAAAAATATTTAATGTACAGATTCGAATTAAATAGAATTTTATTATATGTATAGTTAATAGTGTCCGATTGGGGTGGGGTATCTAAGAATTACCTACGTGTCAGTAAAAAAATAAAAGTTATCAAATCAACGATAACATTTGATTTTTGTTACTCCTTTCAAAACATTACCTTCATCATCATCTCTCTGCCCATTAATCACTTTGGATTGGCGCAGTTCATCTTCCGTACTGCTGATAAGATTTGGCAAAAGCTTTAAGTATGACCGACCGCCTGCCTGATATCAACCCTCCTTGGGACTGCTATTGTTTATCGCGGATGTTTTGTAATATGCACATTATTTTATTTATTTTTTTTGTCAAATTTTTTCAAGACATTACCTTGTTGAGAACAATTTCCGGCGCAACATATTCAGGTGTGCCCGCAAAGGTCCAAGTTTTGCTATTTATGGTTAACCTTTTCGCAAATCCAAAATCAACCTGTAAGTAAAACATACTGTATAATAAATAATAATAAATGTTGGGACATTAACACACAGCGCCGTCTAGTTCCATGGTAAGCTACGAGGCTTGTGTTATGGATACCAGATAGTTGATATATTACACATATTATATAACTTTAAATACATACATATTATAAAAACACCCATGACTGGAGTACAAACATTCGTGCTTATCACACAAATGAATGCCCCCAGCGCGACTCGAACATCAAGTAGGGTCACTACCAACTGAGCCAAACGTGTCGTCAAATGACCCCGCCGAATGATGAAAAAACCATATGTTCATAAACATCTCAATATTAAGAAAAGTATTTTTTTTTATATTAGACTAAGATTATTCACTAGACCTTAGTAAAAGCGAGTAGGGTTTATACTTACTAATTTAATATAGCCCTGTTTATCTAACATTAAGTTTTCAGGTTTTAGATCTCTATAGATAATATCTTTAGAATGCAAATATTGGAAAGCTTCGACAACGCAGGCGGTCATGAAACGGGCGACGTTTTCTGGGAAATACCGCTGTTTTTGGAGTATTGACCACACATCTCCACCCAACACCGGCTCCATCAGAAAGTAAATGTACTTATTGTCTTTAAAGGTACTGTATAATCTAAACAAAAAAATAACAACAACAGCTTATTAAATCATATTTTTCGACAGTTAAATTATCGATTTTATATACTTTTTATTAATCTTACCTGCAAATAAATCTACTATTACATATCATCATAATATTTTTCTCATTAAAAGCATGTTCTTGCTGTTGTTGTTGTACCATGTCCACTTTCTTCAGACATTTAAGAGCAAAGGTAAGCGATGGGTTTCGTTTGTATTGAACTAGTTCAACCCGTCCAAATCCACCTACTCCCATGGTACCAACTATTTCTAGATCCTTTAACTCCACGAATTGGTATTCTAAGAGAAAATATATATAGATTAATATTTATTTGTCTTTGGTTATGTTATTACTCCTTTTGTGAAGTACGAGTAGACAACTTGATATCATTCATAATAATAATAATAATTTAGCCTTTTTTATTTCCTTAATAAAATTACATTAATAGTATGTTTATAGAGCATGCACTTAATATATAACAATTTTATAAAAAAACAAAAAATAAAATCTCCTCAAATAGCACAATAAAAAAAACTTGATATCATTACTCAATTAAAATTAATAGAATATGCTATGGATACAAATAGACATGCTTATTAAATCAATAGGTATGTAGGTATGTACATACATATATCAGTCTTTTCAAATATTAGTCTATACTTAAATATAATAAAATTGTAACTAAGTCGAATCTGTACATTAAATATTTTTTGGAAAATCTTATTGAAATAGATATTATTATCGATGCAGAGGCTGAATCTATAGTTTTTAGACTTTTGTCTGTCTGTTACCGCATCATGGAAAAACCACTGGAGGGATTTTGATGAAATTTGGTCTGATGATAGCTGGTTATCCGGGTCAACATATAGGATACTTTTTACCGCGGGAAAATGTCTCATTTCTGAGAAAAAATACAAAACTGCAATGTAAGAGTATACTAATGTAAAACCTAAGAATTTGGTTTTTGGTCATCTGAACGCGGGCGGAGCCGCGGGCAATGCTAGTTCATAAATAAAAATAATTAATCACACGTGATTTATCTAATCTTGGATATCCTTCACATATAGAATTATTAAATGAAACAGATTTTCTTTAACCTTACCGCTTTTGATAACTGACGTCTTTTTCTGTTGTGATGGTCTTGGGTCAGAATGCCTTACATTTTTCAGTTCTCCTAAATTGCCTAGCAGCTCTGTGAATGGACTAAAAGAAAAACATTCTTGATCGAATTAAATATTATTAGGTACTTATGTAAATTTAATAAAAATCAAAATTCCATTGTTATTCTGTCGTAATTTCGTACCTATTTTTTTAAGTAGTGCGCAAAGCAATGTCAAGTTGTTGAATAAAACGTTTCATCATCACTTTTGTTATTTAAATTAGAAGTCAGTTAAATTTTTTTTATTGATATATGTACATATAAATATATCGAGATTTACCCGCGTTCTAATGTTAAGCACTCGACGCCGGGAGGTAGTGCGGTCACTGTTGCAAGACGCCTATCCTCGTGCAGTAGCGCCTGCTCTCCGAAGTAGTCACCCCTTCGTAGAGCACCCACGCGTCTCTCGTCACCGTCCTCTTCTCGCTTCGTCACGACCACTGTACCTCCACGAATGATGTAAAACTTGTCTCCATGGTCGCCCTGACGCACCACCGCTGTTCCAGCAGAAAAGAACTCCTGCCAGCGCATGAATAATCTCATTTTAACGGTTGTTAATATTTTTCATATACAATACTTATTTTGTAAATTGTTCATGTTTCAAATTGTGAATTTCAACTGCTGCAATACATACTAAGCATAATCAACAGACTTAATGTATTTGGATCGCGGCCATATCAACAATTACCTAAATTAATTTAGGTTCATATAGATGATTCTATTCGAATATTTATATTTGAATTGAAATGTTTAATGCAGTTTATTGTGAAAATATATAAATTAATAAATTGAACAATTTAATTTTAATATTTATAAATGCAGTCAATGACAAACCCTTTTCAAAAAGTCAGCAATTTTAGCCAATTCTATGGGATGAATTCCCTGCAGTAGAGGTACAGATGATAGAAATCGAACATTATCCTCCTGTTCTTGGCGCCCACTTCGCACCATAATTTTTTGAAATACTCGTCGCTCTAAAGTCCATACTTTTGCCTCGGTGATACCTGTAAACCGATTTCATTTTACTAAAATAAAAAAAATAAAGATGCGATTTATCTGATAAGTAACCGATTTGCGCTTTGATTTAAATATGGATAATGATAAATTTTTTTATCAAAAGGAATTTATTATCAAGAAACAATTGAAATGTATTTTATAGTCATTTTTAAATGAAATTATTACATACATCTTATAGAAGCGAATCGTTTAGCTTTATATAAAATAGCCAGTTCTCCAAAAGCTTCTCCAGGACCAAAGTTCTTTACAACTTGACCTCCTTTTAATACTTCAAATTGCCCATGTGCCGACACGTATAAGTGACTCCCGCTTTCTCCTTCTCGAATCATCAGACTCCCTGCGGGGAACTCTTGGGAACTCATAGCTTCGACGACTGCATAAAGACGTTCCTCATCCATTATATTTCTTAGAAAGTCATTGGCCATTATCGCCTTTTTAATCTGCTCTGCTGATCTGAATTTAAAAGAAAACAAATGCGTTTTTTTAGCATTTTATATATTTTACTGTGTTGATCCTGACATTGTATTAATACTCGAACAACCAATGAACGAATTTTAGTTATCATTACTCATATTATTGATAATATAATACTATACTAGTAGATATGCACATAACAACATTTTCATTATTTTATTACGTACGGTTAGATGTTAAAATTATAGATATGAATTAAGTCAAATATCTTTTAAATAACGTGTAACTCACTTTTCATCTTTGGTAAATTTTTCATAGTTTAAGTCTGATGGGAGTCTTCCAGTATCGAAGGGTGCATGCGGTGCAATAATACCACGCTTCCTTCGACCTTGTTTCTGAGGATCACTTTGAACTAAGTCTGAGATTGTTTTGCGACCAGCACTGCTTTTCCTTTCGTCAGAATCTGAATCCCTAAAATTATTGATGCTTCCTGTGGATTTATCGCTTTGAATGCTTACGTAGCTTGATTTTTTACTAGACCATGCAGAATCCACTGGTAATGTAATACTCTTTTTAAAATGTGCAACATTGCCATTCGCAGCTTTACTTTCAAACCTTGCCTCGACGTCTTGTACGTCTTGGACCATTTCAGGTAGCTTCTAAAATTATACAAATCAATTTAAGAATCACACACTCAGTGAAAATGAACAATTAATATCTATAGATACTTTTTTTTGTGCAAATTATAAGTGAGGGAAAAAATAATATATTTTTAAGGTCATGTTACTTATTTATGTATGTAGATATTATAATGCATTTTGTTGTGGCACTAAGATATAGAGCTTCTGAATATTATCTACATGATTCATGAACCTGTTTCATTGAATTCTGGATTAAATAAAAAGATAGATAGGTGATTTTTGTCAGCGATAATTCTATTTCTTTTAATTCTTATAATCAAATAGTGGGTTATAAAGAGAGCATTAAAAATATTATTTTTAATATATACTTGTACCTGTCGTTATCAAAATGAGATTAGAGTAAATGTATTTTACACACTCATATTATTTATTTACCTATTACCTCATCATGAAATCTAAAATTGTAAAAGATTACTTTGGGAAAGCAGATATTATATTAGATGCATACCAGCGACCATAGGTAACTTTTGAATAAATAAAAATATGTACCTAGTTATTGTGAGCGTACGCACTTTAGGAAATAAGCACATGCCATCGCAGACTTTTATGTAAGCCTTTTTAAGGCCTACCATTATTTTCTATTACATTGTTTTAATGTATCTCTAAAGGTTTAGCCACTGGTAGCCATGTAATCGTACGTAAACAGTTTTTTTTGACAAAACCGTCTAGACTCAACCATTTTGTACAACATTTTGTACAAATTTTATACACAAATCTTCCTCCTTTATCGCTTCTTATGTTAGTGAAATCCATTGCGTGGTTTAGAAGTAAGCCGAAAAACAGATAGGGACAAACAGCGACTTTAAATTTTATATTATGTATGGATATAGAGCAGTGACTAACTATTATAGTTTTCCATTAAAATGCCCGAACTTAATTTTATATTTTTCCATTGAAATGAGAGATTTTGCCGCACTAAATTGTTAAATATGTTAATTTTTAACTCTGCTAATAATCGTTTTTACCCGATTGCGGCCCAAAGGAGGGTTATGTATTTGATCTGTATGTATGTATGTACATATGTATCTACATATGTCTGATCCTAAATGTTCCCTCGTAATTACTAAACTGCTTAACTGATCTTGATTATTCATACGTCGTTAGGTATACATACCTATTCGTTTCGATAACGCGAGTGTCCTTTTAGTTCGCTTTTTACGCAGTCGAGTTTTTTATTTTTGTAATATATTTTTTTGTAGGAAGGACAACTCGGCCGAACCAGTTAATTTGTTTTCCCGTGGAAATGAGAGACTTTCTTGTACAATAATATTTAAATTGTATAATATTGTTATATTCTAACAATAAGTGTTGACCCGAGTACGTAGTAAATTTGTTTTTTAATGTTGGGAAATGCATTATCGCATAACACCTGTGTACAAACATGGGGTTATATATGACTCACCTGCTAGAAAAGTCAGTAATACACATTAAAACTCAACAAAATGTCCCTCGTCTAAATGGGACGTCGCAGGATCACCTACGCACTCAAGCACGACGCCCTGACGGCAAGTCTACCGAAGTAGACCACAACAGCCATGGGGTTGCTCCAACAGACCACTCTGCTATCAGAGAAGTACAAGGTGCAATCCGCATGGCCCACCGCCATCTAGGTGGGATGATTCCCCTTCCGTTGCGTTTCTTGGCTGGATTGCCGGACGCTAATGACCACCACGTTTGCTTTAAGTGCACACAGACAAACATATAGAAGTTTTAACAACGATGGTTTTGGGGTCTAGGTATATTCCGTGCACATTACGTTACAGTTATAGGTTTGTTTTTAATAAAAAATATATTTTTAACACATTTTTTAAGTTACCTACTCGAGTTAAGTGTAAAAACTATACTTACATTACTTAAACTTAAACTTTTAAGCGATAATAGGTACCTAAGTACTTGGATATACATTTTAGCAGAACCAAATAATAGCTAAACTAATTTCAAGCAGCCTCTTGTATCTTCTTATTAAAGAATTGAAATAAATAATAATATAGGTACTACACCCACATTTATTTTTATCTTGAAAATCTAATTTAACTATCATTTCATTTCTTTTGTTTGTCTCATACATTTCATGAAAACGGCTGAGTAAACTCATTAGCGTAGAAGAAATCCAGGTAAAAATAAGTCATTTGAGACATGTAAGTTATGGTATTGGTTGTTTGTAATTTTACGAAATAACTGCAACACTGACCAGATTAACATTGATGATAGATTCTAGAAAAAAACTAGTGTGTGTAATGTGTGAAAAGAACACAAATAACTTTTAATTGGTTGGGCTATATATAATTTGAGCAAAAATCTGCAAGAAACTATAAAGCATCTTTTACAAAGATTTTTTGTCAAATTGTAGAATTGTGCTTAGTTTTGTATTAATCCATGCAAACGTTTGATCGCGATTGCGTTTGCACTTTTACATATGTATATTATATCCCACATCCTTTTTAACGTCCCACTGCTTGGCGTAGGCCTCCCATACACCCCCCCAACGTGCGTTCACCTTGTCGTGGTGGGGGGGCTCAGTAGTGCCCGGCAATTCAACCGGGCGCGAAGCTAAGAAACGCACTGGGAGGTTGCCCACTTCGGTGGGCGGTGGGAGGTGGCCCTCTTCGGGGGGCGGTGTACCTTGCGGGTTGCTCCTGGTACTTCTCTGATAGCAGAGTGGACCTTGGAGCAACCCCATGGTTGTGGTGGTCTGCTTCGGCAGACCTGCCGTCGGGGCGTCGTAGTTGAATGCGTAAGCGATCCTGCGACGCCCCATTAAGACGGGGGAAGGTTTTGTTGGGTTTTAGTGGGTAGTACTGTATTACGCCGATGAGTCCCACACGTCGTGTGTAAATGCATTTCCCAACGTTAAAAAAAAAAGACCTCCCATACATTGAAAATTGCGTGGGGTCAAGTGCAACGTGGTGAACTTCACATGTTTTTCGAAAACCAATTAGGTTTCAAAGGATATCATATATTGAAAATGACGAATAATATGAAAATATCAGAATTGCCAAGAACTAGGATTTAAAACCGCCTCACTTGGCTTTCCAAGTGAGCGTGTTAGGTACAATAGGTCAAGCACATAAATTACCTCTTTTGGTCTTCGTCGCAGTCAGATAAAAACGACCCTACCAATTTTTATATTTTGATAATCTTCATTAGTAACATTATAAAGAGGTATTGTATGTAAGTTTGTATGTAGGAAGTAATCTCTGAAATTACTGATTCGATTCTGAAAATCTTTTTACTCATAGGAAGCTATAGCCATTTGGCGATAATATATTATCGCCAAATGGCAAATGCTAAAGGTTCACTGTCAGAAATTATAATAAATTTAATTGAAGTTGGAAGAAAATTGGCCATTAAGCTGCTTTATGGCATGCGCTGTCTAAACATTTTGAAATAGATTAATAAAATGTGTGATAAAAGTCCCCTAAAGAGAAACCCGAGAGAAGCAAGTAATTCGCTAGTCAATTAAAACTAGACAGAACCAATATTGAACACGACTTGCGACTTATTCCTGGGTCAAAGTGCGCCCCTAACAGTAGGTACCTGCCTATGTCTTACTCCACGACATAGTCTATTATACAAACATTTGCTTATTTATAATAATACTTCGATATATATACATATATATTTTTATATTATATACCTATAGTTCCTAGGTTTTGTATGCGTCCTTTGTGTAGATGTCGACAGAATTGAGCTTAAATTGTAGTTATCTTTGAATCCATTTCACCGAACTAAGAAATGGTAAAATAAAGAAATTTATAAAGATAACATTTTTAACTATAATTTTTATTTCTTCTTCCTCCCTTTAAATATTCTATAAGACCCGTTGTAACTGTATTTATATGTCAAGGGTTTAATAGTGTTGAAAATAATATAAAGATATTCCTAGGACATTTTGTTGATGTATCTATTTATTTATAAGTAACTATTGGCTCACCCTCGTTTTGCTCTGGTTCGCCTCTAGAAAAACAAAAACAAATCTATCCCATGGGAAACATGCATTTTTCCGGGATAAAAAGTTGCCTATGTGCTATTCCAGACTATAATAATCTATCTCTGTGCCAAATTTCATACAGACCGTTCGGCCGTTCTGGTGATATTGAGTAACAAACATCCAAACATCTAATCTTTTACATTTATAATATTAGTAAGAAGTAAGATAAAATAATGATCATTTCTACAATCGAATCCTAAGGAAGTAAAGATTGAAGTAAGCTAGAGTGAGTCACCACATACTCTACTTACACAATGCAAGGTATACCTACAGAATAAAGCAGTATTATTATCGTAAATAGCTGGTAACGATAATTTTTCATGGACATTATTAGATTTGATTGTAAATATGAATAAAAAATCATACATATGCTGTTGAATAGATTAGACCACTTTATTAATATATAACGTATTTAAGAAATAATTTTGCATTTCCTCTAGAATTTCCAATATAAAAAAGTATTATTCACGCAGTGCCACAACGTGTTATGGTTGTTAAATAAAAACTAAACAAAGGATTGATTATAAGCACTTACAACAATCGTTTCTCTACGTTCGTTAGTGTCGTCGCGCCGTGCGGGAGAGGCTAAATTAAAACCTCCTCTAGAAGCCCACCTGAACGGAGGACACAACACCATTTTGACTATTTACAATGATTGATCTATAAAACAAATTTCATTATAACACGCAGATGGCGCGACGCGGTGCAAACTAAGACTGCTCTATCGGCGCATAAGCAGCCCTTATCGCATTGCTAGATTATCTTGCCTTACCGATTGTTTTAATTATTCCATACTAAATGATGATTACTATTTATTATCAAAGAACCTTGCTTTCTTATCATTATCTTTCTACAAATCAAAACTTCATTGTAATGGCGTCAATAGGTATCAATCGGTCTTCGCTAAAATTAATTCGTATAATAGCTTAATTTTTTATCAAATGACTTATTTGTTTTTCTATCTTATTATTAAACATGTTATCGCTACACATTCAGTGCATCATGTAAGGGTAATAAAACGCATGTAAATATAGGATAAGTATATGGAAAATAAAAACACAGCTAAATTCATACTATAATTTATTAATAACGTAAATGAGTACACAATGCCAGAGGCTTTATTAAATGATTCACTTCATTCAACATTTCCCATTTGAAAAAAATATATATTTACAATAGAAGAGAAAATCAGCTCTGCAATCTATGATAAAATTGTCACACGAAAAAATCTATTCATTAGTTTATCACAAATCGCATGAGAAAGTACGCTGTGCACTCGGCTCCAATACTTCGGATAACAGTCAACCGCGAAACAGCCAAATCTGAGCTTCCGTGCTAGACTAAAGTGTGCATCGATTCTATAAAACGTGCCGAACGGAAGACATTCATTAGTCATAACAAACGTAGGTATTTAAGGTATATTAAAAAACTTTAAAACATTAAGTTTTAACATTATACGTACAACATACAGATACGGAAATTGAGCACAGTCATTAGTATCTAAATACTGGTCCTCCGCGGCCTACGCAGCTCGCGTCCTAGCGGTGCACGGCTGGGCCTCCGCCAGGCCAGGGAGACAGCCGTCGCTGAAGATGGAACTATTGAACAGCGTTACTCAACATCGGTTGTCTCACCTGTCTTGGCTGGAGGTACCCATCCCTTTATTTAATTTAGTAGAACAGAACGCGTTATTATGGCTTAAACTTCGTAACGTGCCGGTTACCTGAGGTCGCAAGCATCGATCGCGCACTGCCACGTGCTGCGGCACGTTCTTAATTTTAACAATCAGTAGTAGACACTTGTACGCGTAGGCGTTAATATAAACCCTGCTAATATCTGAGTAAACTACGCTAACGGAACAGCGTCGACGAGTGCAATTGACGAACAAGTGATACTTATTAACTCGCTAAGTTAACAATATAAACCCGAAGGTACAAATAATTCGCAACATGCGGCCATGTCGCCGATAACACTATAATACAGACGAGCCGCTCCAGTGCTAGCGCTCGGGCCGAGGTTGTGTAGAGTCGGGCTGTGCACTATTTCGATTCATAGATTTACCAATATCTGTATCGAAATGGGGCAAAGTTGTGAATGAGCAACGTGCCCACACATCCTAGGCCGGCCGCTAGGCGCTAGCGCCGGCGCAGCTCGAGCCCGCGGGTCGTAGAAGCCTCGGATTGTGCACAGCGGTATCGAATGAACGGATCCGATCTGATTTAATTTAACATCTCTTAAAAACGAGAAACAATTGTTGATACAAAATACATAATATTATCCTTAATTTAACGATTATATTTATAATACATTGATCTTGATGATTTCTTTTCAAAACCTTATTGTAGCACACTAACCATTTTGTCAGATATGTCATTTAAATTCAGATTTTTCTCCAAGTAACAACGATTTGGCTTAGATTATTAGAAAATATCTAAAATCTTAAATAACTCATTGTGTAGGTTCCGATATATGATTAAATTTCATCGAAATTATTTAATAAAAAGTAGAGATAAAATTACAAGATCAATACGAGAGAGATAAGAGAGATCGAGTACGCGCGGCGATTTTTTGCGCGACACAGAGGACTTATAGCCAGAGAGCAAATTCTTAAAAATAATCTTGTTACGTATCAGTCCTTAGATGCAGTCCTCGTCAAAAATACGCAGCGTGTACTCATTTCATTAAAAAAAATTACATATATTCGAATAATCACAAATATTTGTGACACAGTTTATTAAAAAAAAGTATATAATTATAATCATAATCATCGATAGTAATCATGTGTACTTCAGTTTCTGTACTTAGGTACGAACTCGCATTAAAAACTAACTAAAAATCGCAATAAACTATAAAAGTAAAACCCTAAAGTTACACATTCACACATGAGTATTTAGCAATAAAGCAGTGTATTGTTCAAAGCTGCAACTTGACTACACTAACATATTATTATAATAATAAATTTAATCTACAACATAAAGCCAGTGGCACTAGGTGAGTGAAGTGCCAAGTCGGCGTTCAGAAAATATGACACAAAAAACCTTTACGCAGATAATAACTTACACTTTAAAATTCAGATATACGAAACCGTACTTCGTAACTATCACATATAACCAGTGGGAGCATAGCGAGCACCTTTGAACCTACACGATTGTGCGCGAAAAGACTAGAAATTCTATAGAGTCGAAATATACATCAGTTGTCATCGGAGACGTTCCTTCATCTCTGACGTTATTGTGAGGTTAATTAAAGCTAATGCAGACGGCACCACGCATCTTATCAATTGACAACGGACTTCGATATATTTCAACAGGCGACACCACGCGGACGTGTCGATATTACAAAACAGTAACACGAGATTAATATTAAATACTAAGCGGAGACTACGTCCACGCAGTGTTGTGGACGTTGGGTCCCTTCGCGGACACAATTTTGATCAACGTATTGAGATTGAGAACAATGAAAGTTGCATCAGATCTGTTGTATATTCGACTACGATACTGTGTTACGCGTCGACTGAGACGGCACAGAAAACGATACAGAAAGCTAAACAATCTAAAACCTTTATATGGTGTTAATACGTTTAAACTAGTAGATTTTTTAAGTTTTTCTAACTGAAAGACTATTAAATCTAATGAGAAGATGAATGAAACGCGATAGCTCCGCAAACGTATGAATCGATGGGTTTTGTGCTTTGGTATAAACGTTGAGCGAATTCATAGATGTTTACAATATTTTACAATCCTAATGCAAACGTTAGATCTAAATTTACGATTACTAAGGGTTTGGACCCGTATGCATATTGTTCCGTAAAATGAATGTATATCAGATAGCACTGTAAATTAGATACAGTAGAAAAAGTATTAAAACATAATTACAAGGAGAAATCTCAGTGATATGTAAGAACTCCACGGAGTACTCTTTACTTAAACTCTACGTCTAAAGCATACGTCTACTTCCAGTAAAATTAGATATTAGTACTAACGACAGATAAATCATTCGATCCCCTTACGGGATGGAAAATTAAACATTCCAATTAATCTATCGACAAAAAGCGAAGTGTACAGCGCGATTGAAACAAACGCTTATTCAGAGCATCGCTCAAACCTCGCGCTCTGGAACTTCTTAGACTCATCAGGCAAACGGATGTTATTTCATGTTTTTATTATTTTTGTTATTGTCCTAAATTAGTTTTCATTTTATCAGTTACCTGTAATACCATAGATATGTAAGTATGACTTTCCACTGGCAGCCCGAGGCGGCGCAGCGGATATGAGCGCGAGGCGCCGAGCGATACTAGATTAGATCTACAATTACGCTACGGGTTACCGCTCATCTTATTACAGTTTCGAGGGTAACCTTCGGAAAACATACGTGTAAATAACAACCGAGTAAATGGCACCGCTATCTATTCGCACCAAGTTGTAAATATTAATAAAATATACTACAAAACGGCTAGCTACATACCGAACGTATCCTCGCGAATACAAACGATCTACAATGTAGGGTATACGTATAAAATACAGATTAAATAAAACACAGTATCAAAAATAACATTTCACGGTAAAACAAACGCAGGGGATAGCACACCGTTTTCTTACAACTCACAACTCTACCAGAGTATGAAAAATTTAAAAAAGTTTTTATTATTTATTAAAATTCCCGCGTACTACGAAGCGTATAATTTATGATTCATCAAATTAAAATTATGTTATAAAATGAGTAAAACGTGCTCGAATTCAATATTTACAAATTCATATGATATGCAAGTGCAAAGCTCACTAATATACTTTACATGAAATGTTCTATTGTCAACCGTACGACGTACGAATGTAACAACTACGCAGTACTAGCGCCGCGAGCGACGAGCCCCTCGCGAATATTAAAATAGTAACTCTTACAAATATCTAAAGAACGAATGTGCCCCGTTAGCTGCTCGCACTTGTATATGCATTCCTCATATCATTTACAATATAGTTGGACTTAAACTATTTCCGTTAGAAATTTTAATGACTTTGGTATTTCATAAGTTCCCGGCAGATCCGACGCCGGCTACCACTATACTGATATCTATCATTTTTTTTGTACGTTTACAAAGAGAGTTCATTGTCATGTTACGTAAAGATGACGAAGGTAGTTTCATATTCGAGTAATAATAGAATCCTACTTTGTTCCACTGGATTAGTATGGCGCGAACCTGTTGTATCCGCTTCTGTACACCGCCGTCTGAAAGGGAAATTATGGTTATATTTATGATTTCTTCCATGATTAATCATTCTACAGATAACACATTACACAGTTACGTACCCCGTAGCCTGTTACCGGTCCGATGCCGTGACCCAGGTACGGATCTGCATACTCTCTGCCGTACCTGATACAATAAAACAGCAATATTAATGAACAAGAAGAGTAAACAATTGGCTCTTATGAGCAGGGCTGCCAGATCGTATAACTAGATACGAAAATTGTAAAATATGGTTATTTAATGTATATTTCATTTTAAGTAATATTACGTATTGAAATTTTTTATTCGTCACAGACTATTTCTCAACAGTTTTGTTAATTTGTAAAAGAAAATTTGATTGGGTATAATTTGAGTGACCCAGCGGTATAAAATAAGTAGGCTCTACTAGCAGCCCTGAATAGGGTACAAAAAATAAATGTAAAGAGCGGAAAAGTGTATATAAAGAACTCACGTGGCAGCCAGGGGCGTCAGCGCGGTGGGCGCGGGGGCCGCGTTGACGGCGGCGGCGACGGCGCGCGCTGCGGCCCCGTAGTTGGCCGCCGCGGCAGCCGCGGCCGCGTGCTGCGCCGTCGTCAGCGGGGACTTCAGCAGCGGGGCCGCCGCCGCTGCTGCTGCTGCCGCCGCCTGTAACATCGTGCACACCTATCGAGTTGGAATTGCTGTTTATTTATTTGTGCTGCACGTAAGTACTATGCAGGTTGAACCAGGGATGATCATGTTGTAAATGTCACAAAAGAAATGTGTTAATAAAGACCATATCATAACCTATACCTACTTGATAAATGTAAGTAAAGAGATAACACGGTGAATAGTGATAAATGATATGGTATTTACATATCTATCCCTAATGAATCACGGATTCAATCACTAATATTTGAATTTAATTTTTTTGTCTGAGTGTCCATTCCGTTGTTCACTTCTGAGCGAAAATAGATAACATCAATAGTAATTTATAACTTATGAAATAGTGTCATTTGACTGACACATGCCAGCGCTAGTATTCGTCAATAATTCGTTTTTTCACTTTGGCTAACTATATTTTAACTATAATTAAACGATATAAAAAGTTGAAATAATTCGGATTTCGAGTGTATTATTTGCATGCTTATTACGCGATATCATCCCTAATAACGAATATTTTCATGATTCTTTTTAAAATAAGCTAAATTATTAAAAAATTGTTCAACTTAGTAAACTCTATCATTCTTAATAATTACAACACTCTCGATACGCTAATTACGAATCGAGGTAAAAGGAGAACGTAATGATACTAAGTACTAACATAATTGATGACTTATAAATAGAAAATATGTATAATTTAATAAAAAAATAGGACCTCAATAGGACTCCTAAAATATTTGGCTTAAATGCCATTATCTCGATAAAATTAGTATTGTATCTGTGTTAAACTCTAACGACTAGATAATTGGAACAATGAGCCCACAAAGGCTTGTCAAAAATATATAATATAAGAAAATTTTGGTCGTTAAGTAGCAATGAATTTAGTTTTAAGAGAAATAGGTAGTTCCTGGGTGATACTTTACCACGTTCAAAGTCCGCTCGATGAATTGTTGCTTTTAAAATTTTGTGAATATTAGAAGCCGAAAATATTAATCAAATTTGCCATAAAAAAGCAATAATGGTGCACATAAACAAAAACTTAAAAAAAACAGTATATAAACTTTCATGTGTATATTATTTACATTATTACCATGCAACGTTCCCGAAACACATAATATGTACCTACTGAATAAAATCAAAGAATTTTCCGCAGCAAATTATACAATAAATATATATATATATATATATATATATATATATATATATATATATATATATATATATATAACAATTCGAGATACAATGCTTCGCTATGTTGCAGAAATACAACATTATAAGTGACAGACTTCGACAGGCATGCAATACTGAATCGATGAGAAACATTACTGGCTCGTGACACAAACTACCAAAGTTACTGAGTCGAAAATCACTAAACTAAATACTCTGTGATCGTTAGTACATATAGATAATGACAAGGAACGTTCGAATGTTGTGGGCTCAGTGTTCTACTCGGAGCATGATGTAATTAGCGTCTGATCGTCAACTCACAGCTAGCATACGCCTAGCACTAATCACCCACCACAGTACTATACGGACAAGGATAACTGAACAAAGCAAACGCCGTCCGTCGCACTCGAGAGCTTGCGACGTCGCCCGCCGAGACCGTGCTATGTAAAAAATAATCAGCAACCAAAATCCCAGCACTCACTCCACAATGATTATCAAACGGTACTAGCGTGGTGACACATGAATTAGAAAGCGATAGAAAAACAGATAAATTTATCATAGACGATCTCTACAGCCGCGATGTTACCTCTGCTGCGGGCTTCGCCGCCTGCAACAACACACGGACGGTCACCTCCATTCTACGCTTAAATATTACTCATAATAGAAACATTAACGTAGTGAAAAATTAAATCAAAGTTTATATTGTTGATAGATGATATTAATTTATGCCATATTGTTAAAGATTTAATCACCTGGAGTCTGTAGTTGGAGTCAGCAGTAGCTGCTGCAGCTAAGAACGGGTCGTAATACACACTGTGGATTAAAATATTACACGTTTAGATAATGATAATTATTTAAAATATTTTAATTACATAAAAATATTAAATCAAAACAATATAATCATATCTGAAAATGTTAGAATATTATAAAGAGTATTACATATTTTTTTAAATATATTTAAATTACAAAAACCGGTAAAAACTAAAATATAGTTCACTTACAGATTTTTAGGTCGTCACCATAACCTAATAACTTTAAACTATTAATTATTAAGCATAAAAGTGTTTAGTGCAGAAGAATGATTCGAATGTTATGAAAAGAGAAGAATAACTATTAACAACTATGTATCTAATACGCTACGAGTACAACATAGTAAGCAAGTGCAAGTAATACTTAAAACCATATATCATAAACTTTAAGTCGTCTTTAAATATTATTGCACCATGCACTGATTATTATTATTAGTATCTACTATAATTAATTAATTTTTACAAAATACGAATACTTCCATCTATATAAATATTAAAAAACGTTGTGAAAGTTCTAGTAGGAAAGGGTATTTCACAACTTATTTTATTGTAATTTAACATTTACCTGTTTATCATGTATGTAGTTTTCCTAAAAATATAATATATTTTTAGAGAAAAAAAAATTAGAAATATTTGTTTATATAAACTTCATTAAAAGCCTGAAATTTAAATGTTTTTTTTTTTTAATATTTAACACAACAATTGACGAAAAAAAATCTTGTCCTTCTAGAACGTTCTAACAAGCATAGTCTAAAGTTAGCATTCTTGCCGCACTAGACACTTATTATTTTAAAATAGTTGTGCTATATTTCTACAGATTAATATTTATGTGATTCTAGTGAACTAGTAGCTGCTAATTAATGTTAAAATCTATGTACAAAATAATGTTTATTCTAACAGTAAAAGCTATGATAGTCAATATTAGTTCATATTTTTCATCATACCAATTATAGGAATGGGACGGGATGCGGTAGGTTGTCTAATGATTATGATTAATTGGTAAGTTTTCTAAGGACAATCCTCGCCTCCTGTACGGATTATTTTTGAGAAAATGATTAGTGAAATAAGTTTTATATAAATAAAAATTATCTTTCTCTAAATGTCAGCTTGGTAGCGAAGCTTTTTAGTATGTATTAGTTAAAAGGCCAATTGTTACGGCACACCATTGTTTCATCCTGAAACAATTGCCTCTAGTATTGAAACGGTGCATCTTCCAACACAGTGGTTTAAAAACATTTTGTTAAGAAAAAAAACTTTATATGAAATATGCGGGATAATATAAGCAGGGTTGTCAGCTCGACAGAAAAATAGATTTATCACTAAATATTAAAAATCTATCCACACGACTATTAACTTTCAAATATATGATAGTATAATATTTTATATGAAAATTATCGAATAGTTTTACTACATAATTAATAATTATAAGTGTAATATTGTCGAAGTAGACAACCCTACCGGTGTGAAGTGAGCTACACTAGCGGGTGAGTACTCACGGTGCATATGCGTGCAACGGCGATGCGAATGCGGCGCGGGGCAACACTGCCTGTTGGAGGGGGTGGGGGTGCGCGGGAGCGGCGGGGGAGAGGCGCGGCGAGCGGCCCCGCAGCACGGCCGCGCCGCGGAGCGCCGGAGCTACATGCAACACACATATACTGGCATGCGGGTGCGGGTGCGGGTGCGGGGTGCGGGGTACCTGCGTCGCTGGGCGGCGCGCGGCGCCAACACGAGCGGCGGCGCGGGCGCGGCCGCCGGCGCCGCGCCCAGCCACGGCCACGTCACGCCGGACACCCGCAGCCCTGCGCACACATCGCGCCTCTACACACTGACTAACCACCGGCGACACTATGGCGCACTTTATCCGTTATCCTCGACGGTGAGCTCTAGTAGCGCTATTTTATTTTCTCTCAATGTAACTTCTTCAAATTACTAACTTTTCGCATTGTAAGAATGTGAAAATATTTTAATTTTACAGTAGGAGTTGGACAAGCCACATATTTCACTAACTATAATCGTAAGCAGTAAAAGAGTTACCAAGAAGATTAGCAAGTGAATTCTATCCGAGCTGGTAGCACTGTAGTCGTTTCCGTGATAGACATTTCTGGTCATTCATATTGAGTCCTCTAATCAATGCTGTTTTGGAGTTTTCATTTCCACAAAAGCCATAAAGGAGACAAAATTCATCAAAGTAGGAACTGCCAATTTTTCCAGTTAAAGAGACACACAGCGTTTCACTCTTGTATTAGATACATATCCCAAAATGCGAATACGTTATTTTAGAATCATTAATCACAAATAAACAATAAAAACTATGTTACTATATATGCTATGTACTATAATGCATTTAAATACTATTATAATTGAATATTTAATATTCACATCGAGTGTACCGAGAGTCAAGGCCATGCTACATTACAGCACGTTATATCACGGAAGAATATCGTAATGCTCACCACCGTGCGATCGATTAACACATACCTACTATCTGCTCTAAAGAAGCATGGCCATTAGGGTAAATTTATACAGATGCCTTTAAATCAATTCGTGACATACAACATCTCATCGAGCAATAATACTAATAAACCATAATCCCACCACATAAGTAAGAAAAGATCATGCTCGAATGAATGTTATTGTAATAATGTAACGCGAAAGCTTAGGTCGATAAGGGAAGAACGATCGATAAAATAGTAAAGGTCCCTCACCTTCCGGCCACTGGACACACACTGCAACAAATAATTCAGTATTAGTGACCATGATATATTTAAATGTCTCGGCTAAGACAATGAAAACGTTCCTAGAAGACATTCTCCACTACAGAATGGAAATATTGTTAGTGCAAGGCCGAAATTGCATTCATTCCAACATAGATCAAGATAGAGGAAACGTTTCCATAATGAAAGTGAAAACTAACAAGCCGACTAGTTCTGGTGTTATCCGAAAATAAAAGTAAATCGTCAGGCGACAGTGACGCCGGAGACAGTCTTTCGTATATTTTTGACAGTACAATTAATAAATGTATGATTCAAAATCAAAATTTAACATGGAACAACTTCTTACTTAAATATGTGTTTTCTATCATTTTTTTGCATTAAGAGAAAAATTTCGATTAGTAATTCCGAACTTTTTATTTAATAACTAAATCTATGTATTTTATATACACATGTACCTGTCTCCGACCACTGACTGTCGCATTCTCTAATAATGTTGCCAGGTGTATTTTAATATAGAACACAGTTAATATATAATAAATCAGGGTGCAAAGTATGCAATATCCCATAGTGAGATTAGCCTTGACACAAGTGTAATGCATTAATCCCCCAACGACCGCGGACGCGCCGGCGTTACAGTTAACAATAAATTTCTTAGAAATATAATTAATTTCTTCAAAATTTACCTGGAAGTGTTAATGATATTCTACATATATAATCCTTTTCCTTCTTTGACCCAGAAACAGAAATAATATAATTGTAATATTATTCAAAATATTTTACATATATGGGTTTTAATCAATCCCGATTCTAAGCAGTATACAAAAACCTGGCAACACTATTGTCTAAACAGCATTCACCTACGAGCATTCAACGGATCTAGGCAACGTGTAACAATGTACATTAACATGGACAACACCGATCTGTATAAGCCAGCACTCTCACCCAGAGTGGGAACTGATCCGTTTCTAGCCAGAATATCTGGATGGGTTAAAAGAGAAAATCCTAAGATGCATTATATTACATATATAAATATATTGAAAATAATCATATCTTACACGTGACTTTAAGTATCTATAGGAAAATAAGGTGCATCGTTTTATAATGTAATTTTTGTTTTCAGGTAAAATATAATGATAAAACATGAGAACGTCACGATGCTTACCGTTAGGGACCGCAGGTGGTTTCTTTGTCTGCACTCTCGCTGTAGCGTTATTAACCTGATTTGGGAAGTAAATAGACGTGAGCAAGAACAATTTAAAAATTGTGGCATCTCAGTCGAAACTCAAATGTAGTAACAAAAATAAAGATAGATTAGCCATTTCTCCAAATATTTGTAAATGTTACGCTAAAATCTATTTGAAATTACTCTAGGAATCGAACCCAAATTTTTAGATCATATGAAGTTTCTTATAAAACCATAAAAATATTAACATTAGTTGATAAAATCCTAAAATGAATATAAAAATGTTATCATAATGAAACAAAAATCTTTACAGAGCAAGTTTACAACTACAAAGAATGATGTATTTCGTAAACATTTTATATGATAAAAATAGACTTTGTGTAAACTAATAAGAATAAGAAAATTAATAACAAAATAATTGTATTAATTATATATTGTTTATTTAAAATTGGATTGCACTAACACTTAAGTTTCGTTTCGATTAAGTTTAAAATGTATACCGTCGGTACTTATTATTTATCCGAAGTATATATAAAAATTGTATGGTGTCTTACCTGGGCGACATCAGTGGTAGGGACCGTTCTACATTCTCTGTGAGACTCTCTCAATCGATCGGCATATTAAATGACCGTCTAGAGAGTAAAGGGATAAAATAAATAAGGTTTGTTTGTGGATTAGACAAGGGCATACTTAGTGCTAATATGCGGGGCCGGGCCCGGCTCGGCACTAGCATGGCAGTAACTACAGAGCAGACGAGCGCAGGTTGCGGTGGGCAGTGGGCGTAGGAGCGGGATGTTATAAGTTACATAGTGCTACGGATGGTATTCATTGAGTCATGCACACCTCTATCTTTCTGCCCTCAACCACGGTGCCGTGTAGACGCTCTCGTGCTCGCTCCGCATCACCACTATTTGCGAATGTTACAAAACCGAATCCCTGCATGCAAGACAGACAAAACATGCATTAAAAACAGCGTCGCTCAAAAAACAACGTGCAACAAAAATTAACATTTATGCATTGCATATTTTATTTAAATATTCTAGTGAAATAATCGATAGGATATTGTTGTTTTTATTTCGTTGGTAGTTTGAGCGTAATCTAGCTGAATGGGTACACAGAAGCGTTTGGATTACAGTATAATAATATAAGTTTATGCTCGACCTAGCAGTTCAACTATTGGAAAGAGTTTGTATCACTGTATATTGACAAATATCGTAAGGATTATTATAGAATCTAAAATGATAGACACTACATTTTTAAAATTTCTAGAATTATTAAATGGAGTGTTAGCTGCAATTTGATCTAAATAGTCATCGCTCATGCAAGGGATCTACAATCTTCTACGTCAGCTAGGAAAATGATTTGACAAGGAAATTTTACACAATGGCCCGTCAGAAAATCATTCGTATTTAAGGAATATTGGCCATCGGTTTCGGCTCGTTCGGCTCAGTATTCTTTTTAATATAAAAAAAATCAATCACCTGTGTAGCTCTTTTATAATATATAATAAAGTGCATAAACTGTACAGTGCTATAAATACAGCCATGGAATAAAATAAAAGCCATTATACAAATTTTACCGTCATTTTACAAGTCGTATATCATTAACACGTCACTTAATATTAACTAAAATTCTATTATTGTATATTAAACAGATATTTTTTTATCTAATACTGTAATATTCACTCGTGCTAAAGGTATGATAAACTACTTTCAATACACGGTGATAACCCATAGATACAAAAAGCAGCTAGCACAGCACACAGTACAGTGGGAAAGACGAGTCGTGAAAGTGGCAAACATGTTTGTTGATTATACGAGACGCTTTACACTTATAAAAGCATGACAGCTCTATTATTACAAATAAATTCACAGTGCATAAATCGAGTATAACAACAAAGGGGCAGAGAGAAAGAGAAGGATTGATCGAGAGGTGAGATAGAAAACGAAGAAAAAAATACAAAAAAATTGAAAGGAAGCAAGGGCAAGCGCCCGTCCATTGCCCAAGAATCACGCATTAAGGACGCATGACACAACATAATATAGCTGACGACACAGAACTCGATCCGATAGGCGAGGAAGACGCTAATGTCATTCAAGATAAGCGAAACTAATAATATAATCGATGCCACCATTGTTGTTACTTCTAGAAAGTATAACTTGCGATAACAATTTATTAATACGGCATATAGGTTCAGCAAAGTTTACATGCCCAAAACTAATGAATTATGTTCCCTTGTTAGGAAGCGTATGATTTGTAAAGTAATAAATATTACAATAAGTCTGGCAGAAAAAATAAATAAAATCCAATCTAAACATCCGAATTACACATTTCAGAAACTCATTTCGCCCAAACTGCAAACGCATTGTTTTTTTTTTTCTATTTTTATGATTCATAGATATCATTAGCCAAAGAGAATGCCGATGCAATTTGGTCGAGTATGTCAATTTTATTAGTGATGAATAATAGAGCTGTCCTTTAAATATGATTCAGAAAATCAGCTGTTATAGTGACGATGCATCATTCTCTAATAAGTAATACTGCATATCCCAATGTGAGGCATTGAAGAAAAAATAATTTGGAGCAATTATATCAAAAAGAGTAAAATACGTTTTAGACATGAGCGAGCATGGACTACTTGTAGGGGCGGTCACCAAACTGACACAAGGAAAGCAGTAAACACGAAAAAGCGTTCAATCCAATCAATTATTGTAAATTCTTGAAAAGTATCTCTTGCTATGCCTTACTAAGTAGGGTTTAATTATCAGTGTGTTGTTTTTTGAGAATCGTATAAAATGTGAATAAAAATCTTTAGATGATGCCGTTAAGACACAAATACACATGACTTACTTTAATCATCACGACTTTTAATTTAATATATAGTATATCGTTCAATGAGTATAAGTATTATTTTTTTAATGCGTTAAAGAGAAAAAGTATGTCATAGTATTTTAAAGTATGTTTTAATTGCTGTAGACTTATAGAAATTATTACGATATGATAATATACAATGCTATTAGAGATACTGCACCAAACATTAAAACCAAGAATATACTATGAGAAAGAGTTGTGTTTTAATCACGATAATATTAAATCTAAGCCCATTTTCCTATTAATTTTTGTTAAGCTATAATATAAATAGAGCTGCTTTATTGCAATAAATAAATAGAATTACGTTAGAATATTTCTTTCAAGTGAACCAATTTATTAACTCTTTAATTTGGGCAGCAGAAATAAAATAATTTAAGGCCCAACTTAGCCATTGCAATTAATTTGCAATTCATACATATTTATATAAAAATACGACTTAAGTTAAAATATTAAGGTATATAAAATTGAACTAATTGCAATAGCTATGTAGAGCGCTTTTGTACATTTCAGAAGTTTACGAAAATTTATATTTACGATAATTATAATATTTAGAAAATAAAATTCTAATCATTCATAATAATAAATTCATTAGGATATCGACTTTCCTGTAATGTACAATACAATGAAATTGGAAAAGCAATAAGATCCATATTTTTTATACTTCATTTTTTATAATTGCTTAGATATACAACTTATAGATTTATTGCTTCTCATTTTAGGGAAATTTATAAATTGCCTTCGTGGAATCACCAAAGTGATTTCAAAGGGCAACATTCATTATTAACTCTATAAAAATAAAAGCTTACCTTGGAACCGCGTTCATTGAAGATAATTTCTACATCAAGTATTGTGCCATATTGCTGAAATGTAAAATTTTCCTCGTTAGTTAAACTAATATCTAAAAGTAGAGACATCGCGTCATGCAGTGCTAATAAGAGTGTACGTACCCCGAACATATTTCTTAGATCTGGGTCTCTGAATCTAAAGGGGATGTTTGATACGTGGAGGCGTTTCGGTTGTGAGGCTTGAGAGACTGGGACGAGAGCCTTGTCGGGGGGTGCGGGAGGGGCTGCACCGGCGGCCACGGCCGCGCTCACGGCCGCTGCCGCTGCGTGTGCCGCTGCCGCTTGCTGCGCCACAGCCGCCGCCACGCTCACCGGTGTACTTTCCTCGTTTGATTCGCCTTCACTTTGCTGTCGAACGTTAATCGTAAAGTATTAGTAACGGCTGGATAAATATAAATGAAATTTAGTATACAGAAAAAAATAACTAAAAGCCTAACAAGTAGAATAATGAATGCATGGGATAAAAAAGGTTTTTATTTAAAAATACATGAAAAGATGACACTGCTCAAAAACGTTAAAGAAACAAAAAAAGTGTAACTTCACTTACATATGTACGCACGTAAGAAGTTATACTTTGGCGTAACAGAACAAAGATAGCTAAAAATTTCATCCCGTATTTCACAACTCTCTGATTATAAAAGGAATGATAAATTAATAAAATAATTAAACAAGGCGTATTAAGCATATTACAATCATATATTTATAGAATATCATTTAAGGAAATAATATAATATTATTTATATCATTTGTCAGACAATAACAACGATTACCATGGTAACAAACAGGTATCAGCTAACTTCATCATGTCGCTTTTTGTCTGTCGGTGTGCGCGCGCGTCGAAAAAATTTTACCCTCATAATTTTTTCCAAACATGCCAAAATAAATATAACTTCAAAAAACCTTTAAAGCCACTGAAGACGTGGGCCCCTTTGTTACTTTAACAAATAGTCTACTATTAGACCCCTATGAACATACCCGAGTGAAGCGAGGGAAAGTCTGCCAGAGACAAATATTGACATTAACATGACCATTGAGGAAAATTCTTGTTTCAGCATAACATTTTAATTGAATTAAAATATACTTATATTAGACAAAATACAATATTTGTATTTACTTACTGAGTTATTATTTTGATTTTCTATTGAGTTCTGCGTGTGTGGCTGTGATGACGGTTGCGGGGAGAAATTACTAGGCGGGAGCTGAGTTTGTGTTTGTTGACCTTCACTTTTGACCAGTGCGGGCTGGGCCTGCGCCGTCGGCCCGCTTTCTGCCTTTACACCGCTCAGGTCTCCATTCGCGGCGAATTGAGCTGCTGCCGCCGCAGCCGCCGCCGCCGCAGGGAACGGGGCCGCCATCCCCGTGCCCACCATGTGCTGGAAAATATATATATTTCGAATAAGTCTTTTGAACCTTACTTTGTAACAGAACTTTTTACCCGACAGTGCGATGCAGAAGAGGGTAATGTGTTTATCAGTCTAGTAGTATGTATGTATGTATACATGTATGTATGGATGTATGTTGAATGTTTGTTCGTATGTGGCATTCTAGAGATCAAATGCGTGGGATGATTCTTGCGTCGTTAGATTCGTCTTGATAACGCGAGTGTCATAGGCTATATAAAAATAGTTAAAAATAAAATGGCACGATTTCAGACGACAATATGTGTCTTAAAAAAGATTCTTCCCAACCAATCGAGTGGGATATCAAAATAAAAGTTTTTAAGAGGCGATCACAAAAATATATAAAACTTATATATTTAAAGGTAATTTAGGATAAAAATTGCTAAATATTATTTCAAATATCTAATTGGCAAGAACTAAAAAAAATCTGTAAATAAAAAAGTATATTTAAAAAAAAAACTAACCGCATAAAAGCTAACTAAAAAGATGAGAACAAGTTGACGTAGGAATACCTATAGTATTATACAGTCGGAGTCATACATAATCTATACAGTACCTGGACTACCGAGCTTCGCTCGGAGTTTTTGGCCACAAAAACATTAAAAAAAAACAAACTAAAAATTTGAATAAATACAAAAAAAAAACAAAAGTAATAACTTTGTTTCCGACCGGGATACGAAGCCCACCTGTGGTTGTCACTTATAGTCCGGTCAATTTATACATAAAAATAGTGGTCAAATAACAAAAATTCCCGGAAAGCCAAATATTGGTGGAGAGCTGGCATTTACCATTACTAATAAAGTTTTAAAAATCCCCATCGATCCTATGTGTGCTACAAAAGTTATTCGGGGTCAAAGGTCAAAATTTGAGGTTTTTTGAATTTTTCTCGAAAACGGTAAGTTTTATAAAAAAAAACCTCACGCCAAAGTTGTAGATCTTAAAATTCTCGATAAAAATGGTCTTTATACATTTTTTCTTAGAGATACCATTCGTGAGATATCGCTATTCTAAGAATCACATTACACATGATATGCACAAATTTCCACGCCACCTGTGAGGTAGTGTACTCCGCGCGTTTTTTTTACCGTGGTTTTCCCTGTAGGCCTACTCCACTAACTGTCATGACAATTTTAGGACAATTTAAGGGAACAATACCCGTCAAGTTCTAGATATTACCTTATTATTGATATTGATTGTTATTTGTAATGGCAAACCCCAGCTCTCCACTAATATTTGGCTTTCCGGGAATTTTTGTTATTTTCACACGGACTATTATCGCACTTGCGCCTTGGCCGCTTGACTACGATGCTTATGTCCTAGCGTGCGAATTAGTGACCATATTTTGCGTGGAATAATTCGAATCAAAACCGCATGAAAACTCGAAAACACGCGTTTTCCCAGACATAAAAACTAATCTAGATCGATTTATCGCCCCCGAAACCCTTTGCTAACTAAATTTCATGAAAATCGTTGGAGCCGTTTCCGATATTCAGATTTATACAAGAATTGCTCGTTTAAAGATCTTCTTCTTCTTCCTGCCCACTTCCCAAGTCATTTGGGGTCGGCGCAGTAAGTCTTCCTCTTCCATTCTCCCCTATTACTCGTCATCTCATCATTCACCCCTTTCTCTTTCATGTCTTGTCTCACACAATCTATCCATCTTTTCTTCGGTCTTCCTCTACCTTTCCATCCATCTACATTCATTTCCATCACTCTTCTCGTCACATGCGTTTCATCCCTCCGCTTCACATGCCCATACCAACTAAGACGATTCCCTTTCAACTTCTCTGTCACTGGTGCTACTTTTAAGCTTCCTCTTATGTACTCATTCCTTATTTTATCCATCCTCGTCACTCCACACATCCACCTTAACATTCTCATCTCAGCAGCATGCAATCTTCTTTCATCAGTCTTCTTTGTAGCCCAGCATTGGGATCCATACATAACGACAGGTCTTATTACGGATTTATAGATCTTACCCTTCAACTTAAGGGGCATCCGCTTATCGCAAGTTATCGCTGTGACCTGTCGCCATTTCATCCACCCAGAGTTGATCCGACGCGTAATGTCTCGGTCAATATTACCATCACCTTGTACAAGAGATCCAAGATACCGAAAGTCAGTGCATATTGGTAAGGGTGTTCCCGAAAGGGTTATGGGCACAAGACTGGAGAGACCACCAAAGTCGCAGAAAAGGTATTCTGTTTTACTTCTGCTGACTCTCAAGCCAACACTCTCCAGTCTTTGTCGCCATTCTTCCAATCTGTTCTGAACATCTAGACTATTCTCGGACGCTAGCACAATGTCGTCGGCGAACAGCATGCACCAGGGGGCTTCTTCTTGTATGTCTGATGTTAAGGCGTCCAATACCATCAAGAAGAGGTACGGGCTAAGGGCAGACCCCTGGTGTAAACCTACAGCCACATTGAAGCTAGTAGTGGTGCCAGCTGTGGACCGGACTTGTGTACTGCATCGATTGTACATAAAGATAAAAGATATAAGATATAATAAAATTGTAACTAAGCCGAATCTGTACATTAAATATTTTTTGGAAAATCTTATTGAAATAAACATTATTATCGATACATAGGCCGAATCTATAGTTTTTAGAATTTTTGTTTGTCTGTCTGTCCGTTATCGCATCACAGAAAAACCACTGGAGGGATTTTGAAGAAATTTGGTATGGTGATAGCTGGTTATCCGGGCCAACATATAGGATACTTTTAACCGTGAGAAAATGTCTAATATCCGAGAAAAAAATACAAAAACTACAATGTAAGTGTATACTAATATGTAAAATTTAAATTCTTAAGTTTTACATATTAGTATACACTTTTTTTGGCCATCTGAACGCGGGCGGATTTTTGTGTGGAGATAGTTGGAGGGCTGGAGAGTGACATAGGCTACTTTTTACCGTGGGAGATTATCTAATTCCCACGGAAAAACACGTTATAATACAATTAAAAAAAATATTTATCATCAGAATTTCTTGAAACTTGGTATCAATATCAATGCTCTGCAATAATATTATTAAATAAATACGTGTTTTAACATTTTTCGAAATTCTTGCTATAAGGGGGTAAAGTAGGGGATGAAAGTTTGTATAAAACTACCTTTTTAGAGATTTTTTGTTAGTTTTAGCTCGAGCGAAGCCGCGGGTTCTGCTAGTAGTCACTACACTACAGTGTCAAAAGTAAATAGACAGGGCATTTTTAATGAAATCCTTTTTTTCATCATAAACTAAACATGTAATTAAAAAACTAATGCATGATTATTAGTATCGTGTCGATCCTCCTTTATTATAAAACAACTATTTTATTCTAGCTTTTATAGTATTAATCAATTTATTGATCGGCTCTTGTTTGTAAATTAACCCATTCTTTAACTAAAATCATGTCTACTCCTTTTAATTCGAAGGTTTCACTGGCCTTTTCGCAACATTTATTTTGTAAAAGGTGCCAAGCTTTCTTAATTGGACTCATATCATGTGATTGATTTGACCATGGTGGAATTGTAAGACCTTTTTGAGAGTTCCAGACAGTCGTTTTTTGAGCTCTATAACATGGTGCACCATCTTCCATGAGAATGTATTCTTTGCAATTCAAATTAATACGTTGAAAGATAGGTAGAAGGATCTTACTTTGGAATATTAGTATATTTTTCCGTATTAATTTTATCATCACAGAAAACCAGGCCACTTCTTCCACCATACCAACTAGCCTCCCAAACCATAACACTTATTCCGGTCTTTTTTACAGTATGTTGCAAAAATTGGTTTTCCAACTACATTACTGCACGACGCACTATGGAGTATTTGATCGAGAAAGCTGGCCAAAATTATTTTTTAGTATTTTCCTACTAAGTTGCCTATAGAATGCTATTATATAGAAAAATATTTTTTTTTTACCCGTAAATATTGATACAGCACTAATTTTAACACAAAATAATGTATTTACTATCGTTTAGTAATCATTGATGTTTTCTTATGGGTTAAATTTTCCATGAATTTATTTACTTATTACATATGAACTTTCCTCAAGAAACTCTACAAAATATAAGCGAAAATGCAGCGAAATCCTTCAAGTAGTTTAGGAGATATATTTCAGTAACACAAAAACGCAAATTGGTTTTATTTTCGAGTCTCTAGCACCAGCTGTAATTAGTAGTTGTAATTGTAGGTATTATAACAAAAATCGATGTTGAATTTCATCAAGAAGTTTTATAGTAATATGGGCACTTAATTTTAAAACTACGAGATATATTTTATACAAAACTGAATTAAAAGAAATATATCAACTTAAAATTCTATTGTTTTTTTTTAAACCAAAATTTAATCTTCAGCGTTCAGTCTGAATCTTCTTCATCCAGGTTTTGCAAATCTCACCGGGTAGAAACACCTGTATTGCAATAGTGGAGAACGGGTTTGACATACATTGAGGCTTGGGTTTCATACTGTTCAACAGAGGATCAGAAGTTAATAAAAGTCTGTTAAGGGCATCAAAATTGCATTGTTCGTGGGAAAATTTTCTTGAAAAGTTTTGCCTGTATAAGCAAAAATGCTTAAGTCTATGCATATTAATTATTAAAGTCATGTGAGGTCGCCCAACATTAAGTGCAGTATGATGAGGTATATCAAATGTATCTTTTAGCCTTTCTCGGTTTTTGTTAAGAAAATTGCTTTTTGTACGATTTGCGGCCATCCAACGAGTTTCCATTTCTTTTTTGAAATAGGAAAATTTTCGTATAAAATCAGTTTTACATTCATTTGGGAATGAAGGATTTGCAAGGATGCTGACTTTTACTGAATCCAATTTATCGGCATAATTTCGCTCCCTATGTTTTTAAGCATATTAAATATCTCCAAGCATGTCACTATCTTAACACCAGATGGTCCTAAAACAAGTAAAAAAAGGACTTTAAAAAAACATTGGCAAAATTAACGTGGTTTTGGTAATATTCGATTTCAAAAAGAT